AAGCAGGATTTAGAGCTGGATACGGAACAAATAATAATTTGCAAACCATTAAGTCGTTGATTGAAAAAACCATTGATATAATAGACCCCTGATACTTTTCTTTGTCGACTTTGAAAAAGCATTTGATACGGTCAATCAAAGTGAAATGCTCCAAGCTCTAACACAATGTAGAATAGATCACCGATACATATCCCTCATCAGATACATGTATCAGCATGCTACAGCCTGTGTAAGACTAAATGAAGATACTGGAACCTTTCGTATTGAAACAGGCGTTCGGCAAGAAGACAACATGTCTCCTAAATTAGTTACAACTTTGCTAGAATACGCTTGTAAAACAATGGATTGGAACGAAAAGGGTATCAATGTAGACGGAAAATTTTTAAATAACCTTAAATTTGCAGATGATATCGTTCTTATTGCAGACAGCTTGATCAGGCACAGATAATGCTGCAAGAACTCCGTACTGCCACAAAAAGAGTTGGTCTTAAAATAAATTTTTCAAAAACACAATTTATGACAACTAAGATCTATCCAAAACTAAAACATCTCAGTAGAAGACAAAGATATTGAGCCAGTTGACTCCTATAAATACTTGGGCCATGAGATCAGAATGAGTAAAGACAACCAAACAATCGAGCTGAAAAGAATAAACCTCGCTTGGGCTGCATTTGGAAAGATGAAGAATATTTTTAGGTCTAAGATTCCAATGCGTCTGAACAGAATAGTATTTAATCAGTGTATTTTGCCAGTAATGACCTACGGCGCAAAAACCCTAACACTCACAAGAACAACAGTGATTAAACTACAAGTTGCGGAAAGGGCAATGGAGAGAATAATGTTAGGGATTTCTCTACGTGATAGAATACCCAATGCTACTATACGCAAAAGATCAGGAATAGCAGACGTTATTGAAAGGATAACAGCATGAAGTGGAACTGGGCAGGTCATGTAGCAAGATCAGTTGATGACCGGTGGACAAAAAGAATTTTGGAATGGAGACCTTGAATACAAGGTATAAGAAATAGAGGTCGACCCCCAACGAGATGGACAGATGACATAAAAAGAGTGACTACAAATTGGATTCAGATGGCGCAAAATCGGACTAAGTAGAAAAGCATGCGAGAGGCCTATGTTCAGCAGTGGACCTTAGAGGCTAGTTGTTGATGATGATGATGACAAATTATGTGGTAAAAAGCTAAATCAATAAAGAAATCTAAATTTAGTGTCACTGTATAATTAAATAATTCCAAGTTATTTGAATTTACAATTATAAAATTTTTTTTTGGAATATGGGTCGTTTTCGCCCCTAAAAAATAAAAATTAATCAACAACACAAGTCCAATTTTTAAGTGAAGGGTAAGTATAACCTAAATCCAAATTTCCAACAAATCAGTGGAGACAAGGTATTCAATGACATTGTTTTACTTATAACTAATCTAGGGGGTCAGATTTAGCGGTCAAACTGTGATAAAATCTTAAATTATGTAGTCTAATGTTAATTGACATTCATTTACAATTATACGTTTTTTGATAATAGGGGTAGTTTTCACCAGTAAAAAATAAAAAATAACGACAAAAGTCCAAAAGTAAAGTGATGGGTAAGTAAAACCTAAATCCTAATTTTCAGGCAAATCGGTGGTGACAAAAAAATTACAAGGATAAGGTATCACCGTATTTCACGTTCATTTACTGGGCTAAACAGCAGAAAGTAAAAGAATCTTCGAATATCTTGGAGAACCAGAACAACAAATACACCTGTTCTTGAGGGAATTAAAAATCCAAGGAGTCTCTATAGTTCTGCATTTTTAAGAACATTTTTCGGAAAGTGTCAATGGAATCACTAGATAACCAAGGACCATTCTATAGTGACCATCATTCAAGTAAAACCAAAAAGAAGGCAATCTTTCAAGATTCCTCTTCAGAATCCGAGTCAGTAAGTTTCAAAGACAATTCTTCTGATGATGATATGATAGAAATGTAAGCAGACAATCCTATGGAAAAAAATGCTTCTTGTTTTTATTCCGATGGAAAATTCTTTTTTCAGCAGATGTAGCAACCATAGCCTAATATAACGTAAAATAAGAATCATACTGAAATACTTACTACCCAAGAGAGAGAGAGAGAGAGAGAGAAAACTCAAAAATAACATAATTAACGCAGCAACAGAATCACTTGAAGAGAGAGAGAGTTTAGAGAGAAAGTGAAGACAAAATGTAAAGAAAAGAAGAAAGCCTCTTACAATACACAACACAACAAGCATACAAAAACTATAATCGAATCAGAAATGAAACGAATACTTTAGTTGGACAAATAAAAAAGGAACACTGGCAGAGCTTCTCAAAACAGATGGAACACGACTTCTACGGAACACAAAAAGAAATATGGAGAATAATCTTCTTCTTTAAGTTCCACCTTCTATCGAAGGTTGGAAATCATCATGGCTATGCGGACTCTGTTGACTGCCGCTCTAAAAAGTCCTGCACTACTGCATTCAAACCATTCCCTTAAGTTCTTAACCCAGGATATTCTTCGTCTTCCCACATTTCGCTTTCCTCGGATTTTGCCTTGCATAATAAGTTGTTATAATGCGTATTTTTGCCCTCTCATCACATGTCCTAAGTACACAAGTTTTCGACTTTTGATAGTTAATATTATTTCCGCCTCATTTCCTATCCTTCTAGTTACTTCCACGTTTGATATTCTTTGAATTCATGATATTCGTAGGATTCTTCTGTAACACCAAAATTCAAAGGCGGCCAACTTATTCAGATGGACTTGTTTTAGTGTCAATGCTCCCAAGCCATAAAGAAGAGTAGAGAACACGTAACATCGAAGCATTCTCAGGCGTAGTTCTAACCTTATACCCCGACAACAAAGAAACTTTTTAAGTTTAATGAATGATGCACGTGCTATTTCAATACGTGTCTTGGTCTACATCTGATGTTATCCATGTTCCTAAGTATTTATAGTTTTTAACAATCTCAATTGCAGTATCTTTAATAGTCAATTGGATATTTGCACGTGCAGATTTAGTCATGATCATGCATGATCAGAAGACAAAAAAAAAGAGATGAACAAACTAATAAAAACGAAACACATTCAGAAAGAAACATGAGTAGACTACTTTCGATCTCTGTTTGCTAAAGGTGATGATAATGAACCACCAACACCAGAGGTAATGACAAACGAAGAAATAAATATTAAGAAGGAAGATGTAAAGGAAGCATTAAAGAAATTAAAAAATAGAAAATTATCAGGAGAGGACAGAATACCGAACGAACTCCTAAAGTACGGAGGACCAGATCTGACCAAACAACTGTTAAAACTAATCCAAAAAATATTAGAACAAAACAGAATTCCTCAATAATGGACATAAAGCATCCTAATACCTCTCTTCAAAAGGGAAGACAAATCGGACCCGGAAAATTACAGAAAAATGAATTTATTAAACTTAACACTAAAATTAACAACCAAAATGATAAAATTAACAACAAATAACCTACATGAAATTAAGTACAACATTAATAGAAGAACAAAAAGGTTTTAGGTCGGGAAGATCATGCACCGACGCTATATTTATAATTAGGAAAGTGCAAGATAAATCATTAGAATACAACAAATCGGCATATCCATGTTTAACCAACGTGGAGCTTAAGAAGGCATTTGACCGGGTCCAATTGAAAGACGTTATCCACTTACTGTACACAAGGGAGATACCTCTAGGAATAATTAAAACAATACAATACAAGTAAAAGTGGAAGAAGAACTAATCGACCCTATTGAAGCTGGCAATGGGATAAGACTGGAAGCTTCCCCGAGTCCTCTATTGTTCAACCTGATTATGGATGAAATAATAAAAAGAGGAAGAACTAAAAAAGGATGCCAAATCGGAGAAAAACAACAAATAATCTGCTATGGTTACAACAGCAAATTTACTAATATGTTATTGGAGCTGGAAGGTCAGATAATAGAACAAATGATGGAGTTTAAATATCTAGGCATCATATTATCTAGCTACGGAAAGCTCGAATCTGAAGTGGAAGAAGTGAATAGAGCAAACAGAGCCACAGACTGCCTGAATGAAACAATATGGAGAAATAAAAATATCGGGAAAGAAACGAAAGGCAGAATTTACAAAACAGTCATCAGATCAATAATGACATACGCGGCAGAAACAAGACCTGATAGAGAGAGGACAAAAGGGACGTTAGAAACAGCAGAGGTGAAAACACACTATGGGACATAGCTAGAAGTACACATATATGACGTAGATGTAAGGTGGAGAATATCAAGAACTGGGTAAGAAATAGAAGAGTAGAATGAAACGATCATATAAGCCGAATGACAACAAATAGAAAATGGAAGACCACGAAAACGATGAAACGACAACTTACTGGAGGCACATTGAAAAAAAAAAACAGTCATGTCCATATACAAAGAAGAAGGAAAATTTTTGGAAGATGGAAAAGGAGAGAAGTGGATATAAGATATAATGCATTGTCTGCAAAGAGTTTTACCATAAAAACTTTTCCGGGTGTGATACTGACACTTTCATTTGCGAGATTTGCAAAAACAATTAATATGTTTTATTAAGAGGTAAATAAACGGTAAACGGTAACTAAATCCTAATATCTATTTACAAAATTTGAAAATGTAAACTGTATTCTTTTTAATTTTTATTATTTTTCCATGTGCACGCGTGTTACCGTTTTCCGTATTAGGATCATAGCGTATTCCACATTACTTACACATTCCATATTAGGTACAATATCTAATTAATTTTTTAACATATTACTTTTTTGAATATCCCGGTATGCCAACTCTCTTATTTTTAATCCTTATTAAAATTTGATAAATACAATACTAATGTGTATTTATGAAAAAAGAATCACAAATTGTTGAAAGAAACAAAAAATACACATCAAATACAAAACCCTATTCCATATATGGCACATCTCCTCTACTTTTCGTTTATTTCACGCAAAAAAATACCAAAATATTGTGGAAAAATTTATTTAAAAGTAACATTTTTTTACATCTTTTGTAGAAAAAGCCTTTTTACAAATTACACATTCTAAATTTCGAGAAACAGTAAGTAAACATTGCCTACAATAAAAATGATCACATGGAATTTTGTACAAAAAACTAAATAAACTTTTACACATTATACATGTATTAGTTTCTTTTTCATCATATGTAAAAGTTTTGAAATTTGCATTCCTTTTTGCCTCAGATAATGCTTTTTCCAAGTCGCTGTCGTCGCTACAGTAGGTCCTTTTTTTCGTATTAATAAAATCATTGTTACTTGTACCTCCTAGAATTCTTTTATGATTGAACAATTCAGATCTATGTGAATTTTGTAACACAAACATATCTATCCTACTTTTTAAACCAACATTTATCACTGGCTTAAGAGTTTCATTAAATTTAATACCGGTAAAAGGATCACAAGGTTTTCTGCCAAAAGATTTCTCACTTTCTATTTGTTTTTCTAATGTAGATTGATCGATAGTTTTGCCACTAGGTAATGTCATAGGAATTGTCATTAATTCATATGTCAAATCATCTTTAAAATCTTCAGGAATTTTAAATTCCTCAGAATTAGATTCCGAAGTGGAACCGCTTATTTCTTTCTTACTACCAGTTGCAAGTTTACCGATAGTGTTTACAGTAAGCTTTGAACAACTTTTTGAAGGAATACCCCACACTTCTACAGATCCAATACAAGGTACCGACTTTTCAGTACGAAATATTATTATTTTAATACTTTGAGCGTTTAAAAAATGTTGGAAAGTATGAGACTTAAAAAATGCCAAGTGAAAGCTGGTATCACAGTTTGGAGGTAATTGTGTGTTAGAATATTTTCTACTATTACAAAATACTATACCGGAATTTTCATAAATGCATTTTCCTATTGAAATATAATCTGAGTTTTGCTTCTTTGCAAGCAATTCTATTCCAGAACATTTTTGATTTCCAACAGTTGTATTTATAATAATATAATGTATATTGACAGGGCAAATAAATTCAAATTCTACCTCCACAGGTGGTTTAATAGCTGAATAGGATATAAAACCGCGTATTTTATCGATGTATTTATTGCTTATGAGATTATCAACTTCATAATTATCAGTTGCTGGTGTTCTACAAACAACCTTGGGAACCAATTTTGAATCTAAAAAGTTAAACATTCTTGATAAACTGAAAGTTTTGAATGGACCAATCAGGATTGAGTAGATACCCCCACCGGAGCAATACAACTATTAATACTAAAATTATATTTGTTTATCAAGTTTTCGTCTTCCAAATAAAAGTATCTTTAAACATTTATTACACAAACAAATTTAGCTTGCGTAAAATATGTTTCAATAATTTTAGATTTTTAAATTAGCATCATCCCATTCCCATAAACGGAATTTTTTGAATAGACCAATGGATATCGAGTATCTTCCCCTAATACAATTCGATCTAATATCTTTAATTTTAAAATATTTTATGTCTAGTAAATGGTTTTGTTCTCTAAGAATGTACACAACAATGAAAATTTTGCTTACTTAAAATAAATTACAATCATTTTATTAATTTTCACAATATATATCGATCCTGGAAAATTTTCTTTTTGGTGCATGCGCCTTTCAATCAACCCAACGCGTGGCTTGGTTTTTAAAACGGCAGTTATTTCTTGTTATTATACGCGAAGTTACCTTGGAAGTGTCATCCAGTGTTTAATAATTCAGTGTTTTTAACGGTTTTTGTTAGTTTTTTTGTGAGATATGTAATTCTTTTGTTTGGGTAAGTTGCCTGAAAATGAAAATTTATTAAATAAAAAAGTAAACATAAAATAATACATGATATTTAAGTTTGTTTTCTATTTTGTGTGATTTTGGCGGTTAAAACAAAAGATAAGAGCTGAATCTTAATTGTGATATTTTTGACGTTTGAATGTTAATAATAAAGGATTTTTTATGGATTTCATATCGTATAATGCCTTTTTCGCACTTTTAATTGATTCTTTTAGTTTTTTTTATGGATCTACTTTTCGTTATAATCGGTTACTGTAAATAGAACATTTGTACAGTTCGTGACAAAAGTTTTGTTAACTAACCCTATGGCTAACCTCTAAAGTAATTGCTGTGACAACAGTCAATATGTAGTTGCAAAATTCATTACTTACTTTTAAAATAGTATCGGAACAGTTTTATTGATTTTATGGGATTAAAAAGCCTTCTTTTATCAAAAATAGTTCACATTTTGCTACCAGAATCTGTTATTGTAAAATTATTGGCATTTTGTTTGTCAACTGTCATGGCCTCCTTGAATTTTTAATTGTATTCATAGGCGTCAACACTATTTTTAATAAGGTGTAATTAATAATTTATAATAAAGTTATTTAAATACATATTATAAGTTTACATGTTGTCAATTCCCTTAAAAATTTGTTCCGTTGCGTATTGTAACTATTTTTTTGTACCAAGGATAGTTTATATTTACAAAATAAACGAAAATACGCATGGAATACGATATTACAAAAAAATCAATACTCTATCTCAATCTTATTATTTATTGTCAGTGGCCTACAATTATTGTGGAAATGATAAATTCGAGAACATATGTGACCCTAGAATCATTCGCATTCTCTAACTATTTCTGACTATGACTGTTTCCATGAACTCACTATTGTGTAATCATGATACTACAACATGATACATACATGTTGTGTGATTTTATAATAAGCGTGAATATGTCATAGCTAACTTAATACTACTTCCTAATTTTCACATTCATGGGTTTTTTCGTTATTTTTTCATATTCGGAAATACAATTTCCTTAGTCTTATTTCAGTTACAATACATTGTTTTTATCATCTTTTGTGTCTTTAGCTTAATTCCTAATTTTTGTTAGTACGTTGAAGCGTTTCTGTATGAAACTTTTATTTCACATTATCGTAGGTATGCCACACATTTTTTAAGTAATTTATAGTCCTAATTATATACAATAATAGTTTTAACATTGTTTTTCGTTTGTTCTTGAAAAATCGACAAAAAATTGTAAAACGTGCTATGTGTTTATGGCCATATAGTACGCTGATACATTCATTTTTGAAGAAATTTAACAACGGGTACTTTGTTACATTCTTAACTGGTCGACAGAACACAAAACTGTTTTTATCTTTTAAATATTATACTCGTATATCATTTGTAAGAAAACATTTTTTCTTTTTTGTATTAGAGCAACCATGTTTTTGTTTTGTAAGAATTGCTGTGAGAAATTATATTTTATAATACATTATTTAAAATATATGAATTGTGATACCAAAATATTTAAATTCTTTCTTTAACAAAACTTATGTTGATGGATACTGGCTGAATGACAATTGTCCAAGCCAAGGAAAAAAAAAGAAAAAAAAAAAAAGATACCAAAATAAATTACTACCTCTCCGCCTATGTTGAATTCGGTTTCCTTCGGAAATAAACAAATGTTTCGTTTCCCATTCTGTACTTGTTTTTTAACACCAACCAATCACCAATGAGATCAAATTTGATGCTGTTTATAGGTGTTTGTTTTATTTCAATTATGTTTCTCCAAACTTTAAAGTAACAATAGTTTTAGGTGAAATATAAAACGAAAAGTGGAGTCAAGATGGACTCACCAAATGGACGAAATGGGTTTTTGCTGTTTTTTAAGAAAACCGGCGAGAATGGAGCTTTATATCCTCTTTCTGAAGGAGAAACCACTATTGGTACAGATGTAGACGCGGATGTAAGAATAAAAATTCCTGATACTCGGATAGAACTTATTCATTGTATCATAGATGTCTATGATAATGGAACGGTAAGAATTCTTTCTAGATTAAGTTTTAATTAAGTAGTTAAATACGTTTTTATCAATTTTCAACCCAATATCAACATACAGTTCTCTTATTTTTGTTACTATTAATATAACTCAACTATCAGGTTTATTATCAAAATAAGATAAGTCTTAGTATATTTCAAATTTCCCTATAATATTAATTCATCTCAACAATTTATTATTATAAGGATGTAGATTGCAAGAAGCATCTTTATATTGCACTATATTTGGTTATACTCATATCAAAGAATATAGTTAATAGAAATATAATAGCCAAAGAATATAATCAGTTGTTGTATACATCAAATTTTGTTTTAATTTGGTTATTTTATTGTTCTATATCCTTCTTCTAGTCGGGCGCCCCTTATCAAAAAAGGTCGATTTCATACCCACAAGCTGAAACTTGTTTTAATCAATAGATTTTGATGCCAATATGCTATGTTTAAAAGTTACCTTTTTATTGAAAACATTTTAAAAAAATGCTTTTTGCAAAAAAATGCAAATAAACAATGAAAAATGCCAAAAAAGCCAATTTTAGCAATTTTTGAGACTATTTATTAATAGGTTGGACATCGAATTAACCCTGAATGTTATCGATATTTTTTAGGTAATTAGTGGTACCATGGTGTCATATACGACACCACAGACATTTTTTTAATTTATACTAAGAAATCAATCATTTGTATTTTTTACATTTTTTATTGTGCAAAGTTATAAAAAAGACTCTAAAGAAGTAGAAAAGAACATGTTTATAACATAAAAAAATCAAATTTCTTCGGTACAAGTTGGACAGATTGGCCTTCTGTGTTCGGCACACAGGCAAGCTTTACAGCAGATGCACAGGTCTCTACCTTTTCTGTTGGCAGATAGAGGGCAAACTTGACATCTTTTGTGGGTTGGAAGTTGAGTTTCTTGATTTCTGAGTACTGGCTGGTCCTCTTGACCAAGAACATCAAAAATCATGGAGTACAAAAATCTGGACAAAGTTGGCATTTCTAATCTCTTTTTTAGTTGTGGAGTCGCCAACTGTAGTGCTAAATGCCTAAAAAAATCTTTCCTGGGAGTATTTTTTAAATTTGAATCTGATTTGGTTCTATTTGCGCTATAAATAACATAAGCGTTACTACCTGCACCATCAAGCATGCCATAAAAAACTCTAAGAGGCCACCAATGACTTTTCTAGACACGGATTTAGAATGACACAACTGATCATAAGTGTCTACTCCTCCTTTTGTATAGTTACAAAACAAGGCAATCTCGGGCTTGCTAGTGTCTTCATCAATTACAACATAAGTATGAAATGTTGACAGCAACAAAACAATTTTTTTGGTTTTGGAGAAAATGATACTAATGTCTTATTCTCGTCAAAAGCAAAGTCAGAACTTGGAAAAATTTTTTTCTTTTTAAGAAATTCTGGCGGAAGGTCAGACTTGTTTTTTCTTAAGGTTCCAAGCATTGTCAACTTTTTTTATAAAAGCTTTTCTGCAAGATCTGAGGACGAAAACCAATTATCCATGGCGACATTTCTATTGGTGCCATAGAGATTTTTGCATAGGCGAAGAACATATTGGGTGGGCAAAGTTTCTGATGCATCTCGTCTCTTTTTTCCCACATATGATATTGCAGAATACATATAAAAAGTCTTAGAGTCGCATAACATAACGATTTTATTTCCATATTTGTCTGGTTTATTTGGAATATAAACTTTAAAAGGACATCTGCCCCAAAAACTGAGCAACTGTTCATCAATTGTCACATATGTGCCAGGAGTGTAATTAGCTTCACAATTTTCAATAAATTCATTCCAAAGAAATCTTAATAGGTGCAAATTTATCATCACGTTTCCTTTCCTCTCTATTCTACGTTCCATGTTAAGAAATTAACATTGTGGAGATAGGGCCATGTATTTCTTATGGACAATAGAAACGCGGCGTTGCCACGACACACACAAGCACAATTTAGGGTTGTATAATTTGTATTTTCGTTTCCACAGACATGAATTAAATTAATGTTTTTTAACGTAATTGACCAAAAGTGCCCATTCGAAACAAGAGATGAAAAGTAGGGAAAATGATTTTAATTAGATAAATACTATTTACAAAAGATTATTTTATTTTATTTTAACTATAGTAACGATTGTTTATTTGTTTTTCGGTGAGCCATGAATCATAGAAATCAGTAGAAAATATTGCTTAGTTAAATCATGCATTCGCCTATTAAAGTTTTAAAAGCAAATAAACGGACTTGGAATGCATATATCTAATTACTAATTCTGTGGTCAACACTTAAAAGGGAATAAGTCAATTTTTTGGGAAATCGTGTTTTCACTATAAAAACATCGTAACATAATTATTCTTTAATATACTAAAAGGATATAAGTAGATATAAAGGATATAAGCCTTACTAGACTTATATCTACTTATATCCTTTTAGTATATTACAGAATAATTATGTTACGATGTTTTTATAGTGAAAACACGATTTCCCAAAAAATTGACTTATTCCCTTTTAAGTGTTGACCACAGAATTGCAACTTAAAATAATACAATTTGCGTATGCCAGCGATTTTATGTTGTTCTCTGACTGCATAATGATAATAAGGCTTTTATTTAGTAGTTATTCTGACTTTACAGTTAAATGTTAATTGAAAATGAAAATTCAAAAATTAAGCAAAGGGAATATCTTGGACATCCATGCAAAAGAGAGTCTCTGAGAGTTTTGGCAACACTGATCTCCATAAGTGTAATGTTATTTTCTTATCTTGAAACAAAGAATAGTTGTTTTGTCATCAAGACAATTAATCAAAAATTCAAAGCGTTTTTGTGACATAGTTGCTCTGAAAATTGATCTTCCAATTTGTTTTGGTCATAAATCAGAGGTACTCAGGTAGCTAGTTTTTAGAACACCACTCATATAATATAAAAGACAATAATGCCAAAATCTCTTCTTTGCTTGTAACAGTTGTAAAACTTGGAGATTGACTACATTTTGTAGATTGTTTAGAGATTTCTTGGTTTGTCTATTGAGTAATATAGTTTATCATTGAGTCGCTGAAAAATAGTTTCCAAGCCAGAATCTCTTCTGGTGTATTTGAAGCATGAGCCTTTGGACCTGGTAGACGAAGCATGTTTTTTTGGACCATGCGGGTGTTCTTTGAGAAAAACGTAGTTTTATACCACTTAAAACCATTTTTTCCATATACTACTTTTCTTTTTTTTGATTGCTATATTGCTGCGAATCTTCACTCTCCTCTTCTCTAACCTCTGGTTCTGCTAAAATGTTATCAGAATGTTCACCTCCACATAAGTTCTTTGTCTTCATCCTCACTCAAACATGCAGATTCTGTATTATTTAAAGGGACATCTTCATCACTCTCACCAGCCTCATAAGCACACGCAATTTCTTCTAACTCAGTCTGAGTCAATGCTTTGCTTGTTGAAGCCATTTACTTCTTTATTCAAAATTATAACAGGAATTGTATTGTGGTGTCTTATGTGACACCGATAAATATTTTACAATAGCTATTAGCGCCCGATAAACACTTAAAGTTACAGTTGATTTGAAACTAAAAGAGGTAAAGGTACTGAGAATCTAAGCCTCCCCTCTCTAAGAACATGCTGACTGCATCTAATCGAAACTGCGCGGTGTCGCCGGCGACACCAGTGTACCATTCTAGGTTTAAAATAAAAAACAAGAAAATATGGGCTTAAGTCAAATAGTTTTGATATTATATTCAAAAGTCAGTTTAAAATATCAATAAACAAATAATTGATATACTATTGAAATTTTTTATTTGTTGAAAAATTGTTATAAGCAGGTTCAAAAGATAAACTTTGTATAAGCTTTTTACTGTAATATTGTAGTATAGTATTCTTTCATTTTTTTCTATTTCAGTTCAAAACACAAAATGTGTTTTGAACATTGTTGTTTTAAGCAGTTGTTTTTAAGCAAAACAATTTTTTATAATTTGTTTAAAATTTTTTATACATAAATAGGTTGCCATGGAAAATTTTTGGTAAACTTTTATACATTATCATAAAACCATCATAATCTATTGATTAAAACAAGTTTCTGCTTGTGGGTATGAATACAATTGTTTTCAACAAAAGCTGCCCACCTACTAGCAGTCATAATGTTATGGTTGGTGGTTTAGGAGTGATTTTACATAAGTTCTATTTAAAAATCCTTTATAAAAGGTATATAATTAAAACGACCCTTGCAAGCGTGATCATACAGAATGTTTTTAAACTTACTAGTCTATGAATCATTGCATTTACCAGGTGTACATGAGACAAGCTACTAAATATATGGGTAAAAACCCTTAAAATGGTACAAAATTTGTTGATTATTACATCTTTGTTAAAAACTTGATGTTAAAGTTATTAGTAGATATGTAGATGTGTCTGTATGGGCTCTAGATGGCAACTCTTAATACATAACTTTAGTGCAGCACTGACTTTTTAACAAATATGTGATAATTCACAAATTTTGTACCATTTTAAGGGTTTTTACCCACATATTTAGTGGCTTGTAGTTATTAACAAATGCCCTGTATGGTAACGCAAGATTCCCAATTGAGTTGCTTAGCCTGAGATGATGTCTTTTTATGGGCTCTAGATGGCAACTTTCAATAAATAACTTAAGCAATTCCTATGTTAATTCTCCATGTTAATGTTAAGTTTAAATGCAATAAATATTAGAAATTCATCTTAACAATTTCTTTTTATTTCTCTGCAATACAAGTTTTGCAGAGATTTTGTCTGAACCGTAATTGTTTGTTAACACTTTACATGCAGATGACATACATGTGAGCTATATAGTGCCTCTAGCAATGTACAGATGACTTGCTTTAACATGTTAAAGGGTTGGTCTTGGACTTTAAACACCTCACAAACTTAACAGTTGTTTATAGCCATTGTTGTGTTAAAGTTAAACATATGAGCCTGGAAGTCTGAATAATTATTTTATATATTAGAAAAGCGAACAGCAGACAAGTTATTCTATGTCTTCTGTAATTGCTGATTTCCTATTATGTAGTGGTCAAATTATTTGTTTTATGAAGATTACTGAATTCAAAATGTTTTATACGACTTCACCTCTACAGTTTTAGTTCATTTGATCCATGTAGTTATAAAATATCATAAAATGACATTTAGCAAGAGTCATTTTATATTTTTATAAATTTTTTTTTTAATAAATCGATAACAACTGAATTAATTTGGCTAATTTTGGAGTATTATATATATATATATATATATATATATATATATATATATATATATATATATATGAAGGTCAGAACAGCCTTTATGAAGCCAAGAAGATCGCAAATTGTACAATATAACTGTCAACTTTTTGCCAATTTCATATTTACATTGAGAGCACATAAAAACTTCGGGTCCACCTGTCATCTTGTTCCCTTTTTCACTAAATAATTAATGAAATTTATAAAATTATTGATTGGTCCTCCTATATTGAAGAAATAAGTTCTGCTTTTAGTAATGTTACTAGTTTTTGTTTGTTAGTCATTAGTGGTTTAGTTTTTATCTTTGACAAACATTCAATAATCAACTAATTCTGACTGGTTTAGTAGATGTAATAGATCATCTAGTTTTCTGATGATTAAATTATGGATTAAATGATCAGAATCAGAAAATTGGTCTAACAAAAATGATAATAAAGTGAATTTTTTTAATTCAGTGTTTTTTCATAAAAAAATTACTATAAATAGAAAGAAACCTATAAACCCACCACTTTCTTTTCAATATTGTACATTACATTATTTGGTATTATGTAAGGTAAGTGTCTCATAAGTTTTCAGAAATATGCTACTATAAAATAAATAGTTTTCTTCACATTGGTCTACCAATTTTTAATCTGAAGAAAATTTACTGATTTGCTTTCCTTCCTGTGTTTCCCAAATTTTTGATTAATCTAAATTGCATTTAATTCTTGCTCCTCTTTGGTCATTCTTCTTATTATTTTGAGTTGTGTAGTCTTATCTTCCTTCTAATTTAGTTATTTTTCTAGTATATTGTATTAATTAATAGTAATTTCCATTGATATTATTTTACTTTCTTGTTTTACTGACATTGGTTTGACTTCAGTTATTGTTAAAGCCATATGATTTCCTCACATTTACTGATGGGTCAAAACCAAATGAATGATTAGGAATAGAGTTTAATGGTCCTAACAATAATCTATCATTATCTCTTTTAACATCCTTATAAAAAACCTTCATATATGTTTCCATTTTTGCTTTTTGTTTATGACCCAAAAACATCTGTGTCATCAAATCTGCCGAAGAATCTGATAAAGTGCATAATGTAGTTAATTTATTCAATAGGTGTACAGGAAAGAGATGACTTTTTCACATTAAAAATATGCCATAGAATTATAAAACGAAATCATCAAAACCTGGAAAAGATATTTGTGGTCAAACACCTTCTTCTTCCTAGGTTCTATCTCATTTGAGGTCAGCAATTACGCAGCAAATGCATATGATGGGATAGAGTAGTTCCATGTTTTTGAGATATAATTTCTATTTCTGTTTTTGTCTCTTCTCCTATATGAATTGTTGTTTATATATCTCATGTAGCATTATATGTTCCAGATATGACATTTTTCTTAGTTTTATTGTGTTTACAAGCTGTGGTTCAGGATTGCTTATTTCGTTATTTTGCTGGTCCAGCTGACACTGCATTTATTTATTATTAGTATAACTTATCCTGCTTAATTCACAATGATTTCAATCTATTTAGGATATGCTAATATTCATTATTTTCATACTGATTTTTTTGCTGCAATGAAAATTGTAAAAGTTTTAAAATGTATGTATATTTTTTTCAGACTACAATTACAAATCATTCAGAGTGCAATCCAATAAAAGTTAATAATATTATTGTAAGAAACAGTAGAAAACTATGTAATAATGATATGATCCAAGTTGTAACCAAAAAATTCCAGTACAAAAAGAGTGTTATCAAAAATGAGGTAAGTTTACCAATATATTATGAATTTTTAAATGTATCTGCCTTATGTGTATAAGAGCTAAAAAGAGTAGATTTGAATTGTGTTGCCTGCCAGCTTGGTTGTGATTGTTTGAACTACAACCAATTTTACAAAAGAGAAATATACCTAAATTTTACAAATGAAACTGAAATTGTCATTTGTGTTTGAGATGTTTTTAATTTGTTTATTTTTTATTGTATTTTCACTCTTCTCTCTATTTCTATATTTGTATAAAACTCTTATTAGAATTAAATTGGATTATTTACTCTTAAATATAAATTGAATGTTTTATGTCAGTGACAATGTTATCTTTTATTTTAACACAAATTTAAAAAACAACGAACAAAGATTTAACATCTGAAAATTCAGAAGCAGAAGTTTTTGATAGTGAACTTTTTTATGAAAATCATTCAGAGTATGTGGTCATGCTTCTCATTGAATTCTAGGGGTACTTTGTTGAGCATACATTCAGTCTAAATGTTACCGTTTTGGTTAACTATTTTGAAAATAGTAGGCAATTTTAGACACTTGATAAATTTAGGGTGGTAGTGTGCCACCACTGCATATAAGACGAAAGAAACTTAATTTTTTACACACGCAAAGCTCTATGCTACATGGCATCAGTGGCGGAATTTTTTAAATTTGAGGCAATTAGCAATTTATCAACACTGTGACATCTACAGGAGCATGAAAGTCCGCATGAACATCAAAGTCTGCATAGAGTATTGTGGATGTCCAAATTGATTCGAAAGTTCTGCAATCGAGGATCTGAATATTCCCATCATTCCTAATAGAGACCATGCACAAAGTGTAGACATTGTAATTGCAGTAAAGTTGGTATCCACTCGATATTAAAATAGTTTTTTAAACATTTTATTTATTAGCAAAATAAATACCTTCCCCATAAAACTTCTTTGTATAATATTAGTCTTCTTCTAATGGTACTACAACACTTTGTGGGTCTTGACCTGCTTAACAAAGTTCTTCCATTCTGCCCTGTCAGATACTTTACTTCACCTCTGCCTGATGTTCGTGGTTTTAAGATCTTCCACTACATCATCTATATACATACCTCTAACTGGTTTCCATCTCTGGATTACTTTTACTATTTATTATAGCTCAATTATCTGCCATTCTTTCTAAGTGGCCAAGCCACTTTAGTCTTTGTGACTTTACAAATCTAATGAAAGCTAGGCTCTGCATTAATTCGTCCAGCTCATAGTTCATTTTTATTTTCCACGAACCAATGCTACAATGGGTTGGTTAAAATATCTTTCTCAGTATTTTTCACCCACATATTCTCGTTTGATTTTCATCAGTGGTTGAAAGGGTCCACATTTCACGTCAATATATGACCAATGATCTAATTACTGTTTTGTAGATCTAAGCTTAAACTCACGATTCACAACTTACTTCTCATTAAGTCTTTGCATGTTGATATATTTGCTGTATTTATTGATTGACGTTGCTGTCATTTATTATTGAGCCTAGGTAGGGAAAGGTAGAGGCATATTTATAGGTATGATTGTCTATCTTCAGATTCTCATGTCGATTTGACTTTGTGCACTCCATATACAATGCTTAACAATTGATAAGGATCTTAATTATTATTTCAAATATTTTAAAAGTTTGTCAACATAGTATTTTTTATTGGTTATAGTTAGAAATTATATATATTTTTTATATATAAATAATCAAAAGTAAAAATAAAATATTTTAACAAGAAAAACAATTTATTGAAATAAAGTAACATAAAATTGTGTTCTACAAAATCCAAAATAACGAGATAATATGCCTACAAAGCTTAAATAAAAATTCTAATATTTTGTTGGACCTCCTCTTAAACGAATTGAATGTCTTACCTCTATTAGGCATACTCTCAATTAATGATTTCAAAAAAATTTGATCCAAAATTGTTCATATGTGCTTTAAAGCTTCACTTAACTGTTTAAGCATATTTATAGTATTACTTAACAAATTTAGTTGAAAATATTATAGCGACCCAGACATGTTCTATAAAGTTCATACCTGGTGACCAGCCTGGTAATTTCATTTTATTAATACTGTGATGCTTTAATCTTTGGTTCACAATTCTTGCAATGTGTGGACAGGTATTGACGGGACAAAACCAATACCACCCCAAATGCAAATAGAGTCTCCCACAAAAGCAATTGTTTGTAGGCTCCTTATAATATTCGTTATACCTCTCTTCTGATTCCCTCCAAACCAAAATACGACCATCGGAATTATTTATATGGAAATGGAAATCTGGGCTCATCTATAAATAAACAGTTTCTCCATTCGTTGATTGTTCAGTTGCGGTGTTCTTCAACCCATAGTCTTTTCAATCTGCGATGTTTCCTGGTTAGTACTGGATGAGATGAATGTCTTCTTGCTCTTAAGCCAGTCACATGCAACCTTCTAATGGTTTGGTTTGAAATTATTCTTCCAGTGGCGTTACGCTATGTTCTGTTGATGCGAGAAGTAGTATATGTTGGGTTCTGTCTAGCAATAATTTGCATATGTCATCAACAGAGGTGGTATTTCGTTGTTGTCCTCCATCATGAAGACTACACCATTTGTGACATAACGATTCCAAGCTCTATTTACAACACTTTGTGAAAACCCCAAACATTGAGCCTCTTCACATTGAGTTAACCCTTCGTTAATCCACCTCACAATCTGTTGTATTTGAGTAATTTCTTAACATCTTTGAGGCATACTTTATTAATACTTCATTATTTAAAACAATTGAATCCAAACTTTGTTAATATCAAATGAAAATACATGACTTTAATATTCAACTTTTTGCTGACGATAGTAAAAAAAGAACTGTACAAAACATAAAAAAACAAACTAATATTAAAATTAAATTAAACTAACTTCTAATTATATTAACTAAACTTCAAATCTATAGCTTTTTCGGTTAATACCCTTCTATTGTGAAATATTATCGCAACATCATCTGCATATGCCTATATTTTAGTGGATCTTGTATTAATACCGCCGTTCATATCTAGTTTTCTAATAATAGCTTTCAATTGCTATTCAATAGCTGTTGATAAAGCATCACCTTGCCTAACTGATGGCATTTATCTCACCATGGCCTTGGAACCCTCCAGAGTCATTTGTATAAGTTTAACTAACTTTTTCGGTATTCCTAACATGGATAGTTTTTTAACATTTTTTGTCTATCTACTTCATCAAACGCCTGTTTGAAATAAATATAAAAGTTATATATTGTATAATTCCTGATAATATCTTGTAGACTACATTTAACACTGTTATGCCCCTATAATTTTCGCAGTCATTTGTTTCACCCTTGTACAAAGGAAATATGATTCTTACTCTCCAATTCTCTGGGATGACTTCTAGTGTCCATATGCGGCAGATTAATTTGGGGATACACTCCCATAGCACATGACCACCATTCTTTATCAGGTATGCAGTTTTTCCATCTGTGCCAGGTGCTTTGTTATTTTTCAGATATTTGGATATATAGTTTCTTTCAATGTCGGTTCCTTAACTAGTTGTTCTGCTGTGTGATGAATTATTTCTTCTTGGTTTTGTTCTTTTTCTGGGTTTAAGAGCTCTTGGAAATGCTTCTGCCACCTTTTCATTAGTTCCTCTTTCTCGCTGATATTTGGCCCGTTTTTTGTTCTTGTCATATGTTCTTTAGTGTATCGCTTGGTCAAACCATTCCTCATTTCTTTGCTTGAGGTTTCACCTAATGTTTCTCTTGCTGTATTGGTAATTGTTGTTTGGATGATAATCGTTTTGTCTAATGTTATTTTTTTCTTCTCTTCCATTTAATATTTTTGCTTGTACTGATTCTTCTTCTTATAATTTTTAAGCATATTTATGTGTTCCATTTTATTTGTTTGGCCCCTTTGTCTTTTTTACCAGTGATACTGTTTGTTTTACCTTCGATAAATTTGAGCTTCTATAAGATCTAACATCTGTTATGGATGTTGCCCATCGCTTAGATACTAATATATGATAATTTGACTAAATCTATTAGTACCAGGTATCATCCAGATTCCTTTATGAATCTTTTTGTGGGAGAAACACATACTATAGACTCTGAGTTTATTTGCCTTTGCGAACTGTGCCACTCTGATGCCATTGTTGCTGGTAATATCGTATAAACTATGGCTAACAAAGGATTCTGAATACATTGGCTCTTTTCCCAACTTGGCTTTCATATACCCAGGACTATAACTGCATCTCCTTTTTTGCACATTTTAACATTCTACTTGCAGTTAGTCGTAAAATGGATAGGTTACTAGTTCATCTGCTGTTTCTGTTGGGATTGTAATATTATGAAATTTACCACTTAGGCGTATTTTTTATATTCTGCCATTAACTAGAGTGAATCCCAATATTGACCTGCAGCATTTATGGTTTACCTTAAAACCCACTCCAAAATCTCCTTGTCTTTCTGCCCCAGAGTTGTATAAACTATGGTCTTTTTATTTAGGCTTCCATGCCCTACTGTATCCAGTCTGATTTCTTGGTGAGCAGCTACATCTTCGTATTTCTGCAGTTCTTGTGCAATACTTTACATTTTGCCTGCCAGCAGCATAGTTTGGACCAGGTTTGAAATGGCAATTCCATCATTAATTCCTTACTCCGTAGCTTTGGTTGTTGTCTGTTAGCTTGTCCGGTTTGTACGCTCGTCCGGTTTGTCAGTAGGTCATAGCATTTGTGATAGCTGAGTTTAAGGTGAACAGGTTATCTGCCTATTGCACCCGAGTGCTAGAGTTGCTGGCTACAGATTATGAACCAGCCTCGGTTTACTACAGTTATAGTAGCTGGGCATTTCCTCCTGGCCAATAGTGTTATGTTATGTATTAGGTTAGGGTTATACCTTGCCCTATTGCCCTGGCCCATGTTCAGTCAGGGGTTGGGGAATAGGAATTAGGGTTTGGGACAGCAGACTTTTCAGTCGTCTTTTACGACAAGCACAAGATGTGGGGATATGCTTCTTTAATGGCCCATACATCACACGGCGGTCTTAATGGAATTACATTTAAAGTTTTTCCACTGATTACTCCGTCACCAGAGCCTCGTTTGTGATAACATGGTTTCCCTAACGTGAAGGTGAGGTTGATTTTTGAGTAGGAGAGGCTCTTTGAGACGCATCACTACCCCATTAAAACCCCTTATAAACCTGTATAATCTTAGTAATATGAACATAAAAAGTAAATAGTAAATACAAGACTAAGAACCAAGTATTTGCCAAAAAAAAATCAGTTAAATTAGAAAATATGCAAATTTGTATATTGTCCCTAATAATTTGGCTACCCTCTGTAAATTAGCTTTTAAAATTACTCTTTTTAGTTTTTAATAATAGCTAGGTAGGCTCAAAAATGAAGAATATAAAAATCAGCAAATCAAAAAGAAAAATGTTACATATTAATTCTAACTTGGCAGCTAGATAATTTTCCAGCTTGTTAACTGTAGAGTGATACACTTTTATTAAAATTGTCTTTGTAACTAATAATTCTAGTTAAATGGTTGTTTTTTTTTTCAGGATACTAAAACACATAAAAAGTCACTAACTCTTTTCAAGAAAAGTACAAAGAAATCTCCTACATTAAAGTAAGATCTATTTTGCTTGTGATTTTGTCCTTATTAATTTTTCTCATATTTTTAGGACTAAGGCAGTGACTCCAAGATTTCAAGCAATCAGGTAAATTTAAACTATTTCAAATAGTGTCTGTAATTTTTTTGTTGTAATTTAAGATTCAGTAATTGGGAAAAAGTATAAATTACAATCTTCATGATAGACTCCAAAATTATATAAAATTATATCGTCTATTATTAACTTATTTATATCAAATAAATGCACCTTTAAGGCAATTAAGCTATCATTAAAATGAGACTTAATCAAATAATGTTTAAATACATTGTGCAAAAATAATTTAAAATGCATATTGCATATTTTTTATTGTGAAATATGGATGATCACAGCTAACATGGTGCATAAACAATAAATTTTACATTTTATTTTTATATCCCACAGATTATGTAAACGATGTTCACGTCTTGTTTATTTTGACTTCATTGAATTAGTCCTTGTTCATTCTTGGTGTCAAATATACAGTTGCAAATATTGAAGTTAAAAATGTGTTGCATGAAATCCTCTACTTGTAATATACCTTAATTTTCTTCCTTCCTGAGCGCTATAATCCTTTGCAGGTTTTGGCCTGTTCCAAAAATTCCATTTCCTTCTGTCGTTGGCGACTCTTCTACAATTTCGAACTCCCATAACAGTCTTTGATCTATTTTCGACTATTCTATTTTCGATGGCTTCTATTTGGTCTATTCTTCTATTTTATAGCTGTTTTGAGGTCTTTCTATAGCATGCTCTCAGGTTAGCAAGCTAGGATATTCTTTGTCCTGGGGCCCTTTTTCCTCAAATTTTACCTTGCAAAATGTATTGGAGTAGCTAATATTTGCCTTGATTTCCCATTATATGTTCCAAGTACTGCAACTTACAGCCGTTCACGATGTTGACAAAATCCGCGGTTGTGTTAATCCTCCGCAGTACTTCTTCATTGGTGACTGTCTGTCCATGGTATCTTCAGGATCCTTCTGTGTAACCATAGCTCAAAAGCCTGAAGTTTTGATAGAGTTTCCGCCTTCAATGTCCACGTTTCTACTCCGTACAGAAGCACTGAGTACATAGAACATTTAAGGAGCCTTATTTTTGTTTTTATTGTGAGGTCATGATTCTTGAATACAGAGCTCATAGTCAAGAATGCACTTTTTGCCTTTCTGGTGCGACATTTAATCTCTTGGGCATTGTCGCACAACTCATTGATTATATTTTCCAAGTAGTTGTAATGTGGGACACGTTCATTGCTCATTTGGTTCACATAGAGATTTGGTCCAGTTATGTTTTCGTTGCTGATGATCATTAGTTTGGTTTTGTTGGTGTTTATATCCAGTCCATATGTTCTACTTGTTTCCGTTATTTTGTTTATTAAGTTTTGCAGCCTTTCTATGGTATTACAAAACACTATTGCATCATCTGCATACCGCAGGGTATTGAGCTCGACTCCATTTATTCATATTCATATACAGATTGAATATCAGTGGAGAAATTATGCACCCCTGTCTCACTCCCCTTAAGATTTTGTCCTGATCTGTATATTCTCCATCTACACCAATCAACACTGCTAATTGATTCCAATACAGGATAGCTATTATTTTTAAGGTCTCTTCCGTCAATTCCTGTCCTCTTCAGCACTTCCATCATTTGTTCATGCCTGACTCGATCGAAAGCCTTCTTGTAGTCAGTCAGGCATGCAAAAATATTACAGCTGGCATCTCTACATTTCTGAAACAATACCTGCACGCCAAATAAAGCTTCCCTCGTACCAACCGAGTTCACAAATCCAAACGGAATGGGCGCAATTTGTTCCTCGCATTTCCGGTAAATTCTTTTGTGGATGACTTTTACAGCTTACAGGACGAACAGCTTCAGCCCGATGCTTCATTAGGCTTATAGTCCTATAGTCTTCACAAACTTTTGCTCCTGGGCAATGGTATGAACTCAGATTTGAACCACTCTACTGGTATTTTTCCTGCCTTGTATATTTCATTAAATATTTCAGTTATTTTTATTTGTTCTGCATCTAATAGCTTCAGCAGTTCTTCAGGAATTTCATCAAGTCCCGGTGCCTTTCCATCCTTCATTTGTCTGACGGCTGCCGGTATTTCTTTTGGTAGGTTTTCGGGACCTGAATTTTCTTCAAAGGTGGGCTCTTGTATTGTTCTAAGGTCAAGGAAAAGTTTCTTTAAATATTCTTCCCATACTTTTTTTTGTCTTCTTTAGTTATGGCAAGATTGTCTTCGTCGTCTGTTATTTTTCCGCTGTTGCGTTTTCGGAACTTCCCAGCTATTTCCTTCATTCGTTCACCTTTCAATGAACATTGAAGTTATCATATGACTCTGATACTCCTCTATTTCTTGACATTGTTCTGTTTTTTGTTTCTCTTTGGCGTCTCTTATTTTTCTTCTGACGATGGTATGTATTCTCTTATATTCTTGGAGAATATTTTGTTTTTTTTTTTCTGATCCATCAAGTATTTCATCGGTTATCCACAATTTTCGTTCACAATTTTCGTTTTTCTGGATCTTTCTTCAGATGTTGTTCTTTTATTTCTCTCGCTGTTTCTTGTATAATGTCTGACTTTCCTCTATAGTTCCTGCATTTCTGCATTTTATTACCTTTGTATTGAGGTTTTCACTTACCTTCAGTCAAACATTGGGATCTTTCAGTTTTCTAACATCATACTTCTTTATCGACTTCCTTGTAACCTTCTTTATTCTGACTTTGAAATTACCTACAACTGTCTTTCCCCGAGTATGTTCTACTATACGTTTGTTAAAAGTTCTACCAGTTTGACTAATGTAAGTTTTTGCATTAGAACAGATTCATTTTGAAACAGAACCGAATCAATCCATAAATTCTAGGTTTAAAAATTAAGAGAGCTAAACGCAAACGAGCAAACTGTAGTAATAATAAATTTTAATAAAATTTTTGGAAGTTTTGAAATCAAAAGTTTTCAGTGTTTTATTGTTAGATGTTAAAATTGTTATTCAAATTTTAAAAGTTAGGTTATTGTCTCTGTACGATTTGGGTCAATAATATGGGAATATATTTCCATGACCCTGAGGTTATTTAGTGATTACCATAAACATTGCATAGCTTTTAAATTTATATTATAGTTATAATTACTGCAAACAAATCAAATTTCCGAATTTATAGGCGTTGATCTGGCATTATTTCATTTGTGACTGCAGTAGAAATTATCAAAGCCAGCGAGATTATTGTTCCACTGAATTATTCAGTTAGCGAGACTATTACTACAGTAGTATCATTTTGGACTTTTGATAATGCTACTCTATAGCTTAAAAAATTGGAAACATTTAAACTATTATGAGTTATTATATTTTTATCTAATAATGAGGTACACAATGCTTATGTATTTTTAATTTTGTTTTCAGTTCCAAAATTGCCTTACCTTTTAGGGCAAAACGACGTCTTTCATTAAATACACCGGCTTACACAAGTACTACACATGTTACTATTTCAAAAATGGGATCCAAGACGCCAAAAGTTTCTGTAATACCACAGCCAAAGACTACTCCTTGGAAAGAAACCTTCAGAAAATCAAGTGTAAAGGAAGTTCCGAGTAAAAAATCCATTGGAATTAAATTATCGTCATTATCAGAAGGAAAGAAATCTCTAACTCGAAGGAGTCGGAATAAATTAGCTTCTGATGAATCAGAAAGATTACGAATGTCTTCATGTACTTCTTATTCTCCATTGAACACATCCCTTTCAAGAGAAATCAGTAGTGAAGATGACAATATTTTCCCAAGCGATGTAACTGATAAATCAAATATTTCATATAAAAATGATGTTCCTAAGGAGAAAACCCCAATTCAAAGAAGAAGCATTAAGAGTAAATCAGAAACAAAAGTTTTACAGACGAAAACCAGAAAAAGTTTAACCTATTCTACAAGTAAACATTCTTCCACGACGAAAAAAATTTCTTCATCTGCTAAAACAATGAAAGATTTGTCGGCCATACAAAATGCTTCGCCTATAAAAGTACTATCTGCTAGAAAAAGTTTGAACATTAACACCAATGTTGCAAGTCCCAGGGCAAGAAAATCTTTAAAATTTAATAAGTCAGGAAAAGGTACATTTGAATTTTCTGGCCTGGAAGAAGAAATATTTGCCAGATCTCAATTGTCAGTACAATTAGACTCAACAGATACTGATGACAGTATTTCTGATGTAAAAAATGTATCAGCAAGAAAAAGTAGTAAGAATCGTTCAAGAAAATCATTGAATATTAGCCAACCTGAAAGTGAGATTACTGATATTTCCGCTATCGAAAAATATCCATCTTCTTCGAGAATTTCTTCCGCAATAAAAAGTCTTCGCACTCCAGTTGCCAGAAATTCAATTAAAAGCAATAAATCATCTACAGATTGTAGTATGTCACCTTTGATGGTGTCTTCCCCCACAAAAAGTGTTCAGATAAATCAATCTAAGATTGACGATTTCAACAATTCAGATGTTGAAATTAATTTTTCTCCTACAAGAGTTTCTTCTACAAGGAAAAGTGCAGTTGTTTCTGATGCAGGGAAAGCTGCCGCAATGGATCAGTCTTCTATAAGTAATTCATTACGAAGAAAAAGTTTTGGACGATCTATTAACGTTAATCAATCAGGTGATGAATCTCTGGAAAACGCCGAACTTGAAGAAAGTGGATCCCTTGAAATTTCTTCAATTTCTAGAAAATCCACTAAAAGTAATAAATCTATGAAAGAGGTCGCCAAAAGATCTGGAGATGTTAGTAATTCTTTGAACACATCTTCCATTCATTCTGAAATTGAAGATTTATCTCCAGCAAAAGCTTCCATAAATAAGAGTCTTCAGAGCAATGTTTCAAGATCTGCAAAAATGAACGTGTCACAAGTTCATCTAGATGTGTCTTCTCCAAGGGTACCTTCGAGGAAAAGTATGAAAACCCCCCAATCTACGAAAGACACCAGCAATCTTAATATTTCTAAAGTTTCATCTGTAGGAAGTGTGAAAATAAGTCCTAGAAAATCAATTAGAGATATTAAAACACCTAAATCTGCACAAACCAGTAAATCAATAAAAAAAGAGCTTGATACTTCTGAAATTAATAATGTATTCTCTAGAATTTCACCAAGGAAAAGTTTAAAATCTCATATCTCTAGACAGTCCACAAAGATCAGTCAGGAAGAAAATAGATCTTTCGAGAATTCCGAAATTGGAGAAAATTTTATAAAAACAACTCTTTTTTCTCCACGGAAAAGTATTAAATCCCTTAAAGTTGTCAGAAACAGCCAATCAACTGATGATGATCTAGTTAATTCTGAGATTGAAAATGCATCTCCTTCAAGAGTGTCTTCACAACGAAAAGCTGCTGCTCAATACTCAACGAAAATCGATCAGTCTTTAGTGGATAATTTTATTACAAGTTCAGAAATTGATGAAAATGTGTCTCCTGTAAGAGCTGTCCCCTCAAGGAAAAGTCTGAAAACGCCTAATTCCGTACACGCCAATCAATCTCTAAATAAAAATCTTAATTCGAGCAATAAAAATGTGTCCCATACTAGAGTTTCATCCGCAACAAAAAAGCCAGAAACATCTCGAAATGTATCTGTTAGCAGTTCTGAAGTTGAAGACAATTTATCTCCTGTTCCTTCAGCGAGAAAAAGTTTGAAATCGAGATCTCTAAATCGGGATAAATCTCTTGGTAGTTCCGACGTCGAGGAACATAGTTCTCCCACAAGAAACTCTTTCAGAAAGAGTACCAAAACTCCTAGTTCCACCAAAGCCAACCAGTCAACGCAGGAACCTTTTACTAGTTCTGAAAATACCAGTATTTCTTCTACAAGAGCTTCACTTAAAGAGAAACATTCTATTTCTGGGTCTCGAAGATCTGAAAAATCAGGATTGGCTATAAATGTATCTCTTAACAGTTCTATAGTTGAAGACAATTTGTCTCCTGTTCCTTCCGCGAGAAAAAGTTTGAAATCGAGATCTCTAAATCGGGATAAATCTCTTGGTAGTTCTGACGTCGAGGAACATAGTTCTTCCGCAAGAAACTCTATCAGAAAGAGTACCAAAACTCCTAGTTCCACCAAAGCCAACCAGTCAACACAAGAATCTTTTACTAGTTCTGAAAATACCAGTATTTCTTCTACAAGAGCTTCACTTAAAGAAAAACATTCTATTTCTGAGTCTCGAAGATCTGGAATCACAGATCAGCTTCTACATATATCTCTTAGTAATTCTGAATTTGAAGATAATTTTTCTCCTGTAAGACCTTCTGCGAGAAAAAGTTTAAAATCGAGATCTCTAAATCGGGATAAATCTCTTGGTAGTTCTGACTTCGAGGAACATAGTTCTCCCGCAAGAAACTCTCTCAGAAAGAGTACCAACACTCCTAGTTCTACCAAAGCCAACCAGTCAGCAAAGGAAAATCTTGACAGTTCTGAAAATACCAGTATTTCTTCTACCAGAGTTTCACTTAAAGAGAAACAATATATTGATGGGTCTCGAAGATCTGGAAAAACAGGATTGGCTATAAATGTATCTCTTAGCAGTTCTGAAGTTGAAGACAATTTGTCTCCAGTTCCTTCCGCGAGAAAAAGTTTGAAATCGAGATCTCTAAATCGGGATAAATCTCTTGGTAGTTCTGACGTCGAGGAACATAGTTCTCCCGCAAGAAACTCTCTCAGAAAGAGTACCAAAACTCCTAGTTCCACCAAAGCCAACCAGTCAACACAGGAACCTTTTACTAGTTCTGAAAATACCAGTATTTCTTCTACAAGAGCTTCACTTAAAGAGAAACATTCTATTTCTGAGTCTCGAAGATCTGGAAACACAGATCAGCTTCTACATATATCTCTTAGTAATTCTGAATTTGAAGATAATTTTTCTCCTGTAAGACCTTCCGCGAGAAAAAGTTTAAAATCGAGATCTCTAAATCGGGATAAATCTCTTGGTAGTTCTGATTTCGAGGAACATAGTTCTCCCCCAAGAAACTCTCTCAGAAAGAGTACCAACACTCCTAGTTCCACCAAAGCCAACCAGTCAGCAAAGGAAAATCTTGACAGTTCCGAAAATACCAGTATTTCTTCTACAAGAGTTTCACTTAAAGAGAAACGATATATTGATGGGTCTCGAAGATCTGGAAAATCAGGATTGGCTATAAATGTATCTCTTAGCAGTTCTGAAGTTGAAGACAATTTGTCTCCAGTTCCTTCCGCGAGAAAAAGTTTGAAATCGAGATCTCTAAATCGGGATAAATCTCTTGGTACTTCTGACGTCGAGGAACATAGTTCTCCCGCAAGAAACTCTCTCAGAAAGAGTACCAAAACTCCTAGTTCCACCAAAGCCAACCAGTCAACACAGGAACCTTTTACTAGTTCTGAAAATACCAGTATTTCTTCTACAAGAGCTTCACTTAAAGAGAAACATTCTATTTCTGGGACTCGAAGATCTGGAAAAACAGATCAGCTTCTAGATATATCTCTTAGTAATTCTGAACTTGAAGATAATTTTTCTCCTGTAAGACCTTCTTCCGCTAGAAAAAGTTTAAAATCAAGGTCTCTAAATCGGGATAAATCTCTTGGTATTTCTGACGCCGAGGAATATAGTTCTCCCGCAAGAAACTCTCTCAGAAAGAGTACCAAAACTCCTAGTTCGACCAAAGCTAACCAGTCAGCACAGGAGCCTCTTAACAATTCAGAAAATACCAGTATTTCTTCCGTAGGAGCTTCACATAAAGATAAACATTCTATTAGTATGTCTCGAAGATCCGGAAAAACAGATCAGCTTCTAAATGTATCTCTTAGCAGTTCTGAGTTTGATGACAATTTGTCTCCTGTAAGATCTTCCGGGAGGAAAAGTTTAAAATCGAGGTCTCTTAATCGCGATAAATCTCTTGGTATTTCTGACGTCGAGGAATATAGTTCTCCCGCAAGAAACGCTCTCAGAAAGAGTATTAAAACTCCTAGTTCCACCAAAGCTAACCAGTCAACACAGGAACCTCATAATAGTTCTGAAAATATCAGTATTTCTTCTACAAGAGCTTCACGTACAGAGAAACATTCTAGTTCTGGGTATCGAAGATCTAAAAAAACAGGAGAGGCTCTAAATGTGTCTCTTAGCAATTCTGAGGTTGAAGACAATTTCTCTCCTACAGGACATTCTTCCGCGATAAAAAGTTTAAAATGGAGATCTCTAAATCGGGATAAATCTCTTGGTATTTCTGATGTCGAGGAATATAGTTCTCCCGCAAGAAACTCTCTCAGAAAGAGTACCAAAACTCCTAGTTCCACCAAAGCCAACCAGACAACACAGGAACTTATTAACATTTCTGAAAATACCAGTATGTCTTCTACAAGAGCTTCACTTACAGAGAAACATTCTATTTCTGGCTATCGAAGATCTGGAAAAACAGGAGAGGGTCTAAATGTATCTCTTAGTAGTTCTGAAATTGACGACAATGTGTCTCCTGTACGACCTTCCTCAAGAAAGAGTATCCAAACCCCAGGCTCCGTTGAACGTAAATCGGGAATAAAAATGGGATCTGATAAAGCAAATTCATCAAAGTCAGCAAAAAGAAGTAAATCTATGAATCAATCCGTGGATTCTCTTGATAGGTTAATTTACTCAAGTCCTACTAAGATGTCCACGTCTTTGAACTTAAGTAAATCGGCAATGACAGATTTAGAATCAGAAGAATTAAAGAATCCAAGAGTTTCCTCGACACGGAAAAGTGCATCTAAAAGTCGAAGATCTGTAAAGAGTTTCCTTCCTGACACAGATCTTGGTACAAGTTTTGACTCACTTGATATGTCGAATGTAGAATATAACCAAAGTTCAGTTGAAGCATATTCTGTATCTCCTTTAAAATCCATACGAAAACCAATATCTCCAAAATCATCGGTAAAGTTAGACCACATTTATTCAAGACGAACTGATTCGATAAGCAATATTAATAGTTCAATAGAAGACATTGATTCAAATATCAGTTCACTATCTACTATACTTAATAACAATCAAGCTCGAAGGTCATCAAGAACTAGAAAATCAACCGCGGAAAATGATTTTGACTACAGTTCAAGTTCAAGAAAATACAGAGATAGCGATACAGGTTCCGGTAATTATTCTCTTTCCTCTACAATTCCTTTGCAAACTGATGTATCAGTAATATCAATAACAACAAGCCGTAGATCTTCTAATATTGCAGACGAAAGTACTTTGGAAAATGTTACAAATTCTTTAGATACCAGCGTATCGTCTAGACGAGTCAGATCAACTAACTTTAGCGTTGTTGACTTAACAACTCCTACTAGTCCCAAACGAAGCAGGTAAGATTCTTTCATTACTCTTATTTACTATTACATATTCTAATAGTCTCAAATGTTTAAAAACAATACATTAGATTAGAACAATTCAAAATACAGTGAAACTTGGATAATTCGAACCTCAAGGGACCGTTAAAAAAATTCGAATTATCCAAAAATTCGAATTAAAAATATATACACAAAAAACAAAGATGTCTACAAAAACATCTGCAAACGATAAAAATCAACAATAGTTGACCATTTTTATCGCTTGCAGATGTTTTCTGCAGATATATCGAAATATTTTGTCGTTTGCAGAATTATCCAAAAATCCAAATTAAACATATATCCACAAAAAACAAAGATGCCTACAAAAACATATACAAATGATAAAAATCAACAATAGTTGACCATTTTTATCGCTTGCAGATGTTTTCGTTACTATTTTTGCCCGAATTTTGTCAACCGAAAAAAATGGGCCAACAAAATTAGGCCAGAATAGCAATTAAATCATTTGCAAGCTATAGCAAATGGTCAATTATTGTCGATTTTTATCATTTGCAGGTTTTCTCATTGGTATTTTTGGCCAAATCTTAGCCGAAACAATCGGCAGATAAAAAATTCCCAGTAAGAACGCATCATTAAAAAAATAAAACATTTTGTCTCAAAAAATTTATTGAAAATAAAAATACATATTTGTTACAATTAATGAAAATAGACTAATTTTTTCTAAAGAAATCCAAATTTTTAGCTGCTTTTTAGAATTTAACTTCTCGGTAATGACAAACGATTCTAAGAGAGTGACTTATATCATTTTTACTTTCAAAGTACCGTTTAAGTTGCGTAATATGGTGTGTTGCTTCGGCCGCACTCGGAACATGTATTTCTCCCGCAACTGATGATGCGTCGTCTTCATCACTCTCTTGTTTTTCATCACTGTCCTTAAGCACTTCAGCGATGATCTCTGTATCGGTTATTTCACCACATACTGCAACATCTTCATCCACGTTAACAAAATCTTCATAAGAGATGGCTGGATCAGAAATGATGTCCCCCCAGCAGCCAACTGAAAGCAGCTCTTCTGTTAAATTGTCGACTGTGTTCTCCTCCTTTTTTATGAAACCAGTTTTTTTCTTTGAAACAGTGTTTGATCGTTTCGGGTGTTACTTGGTCCCAAGCTTTCTTACACATTCGAGATGCTTGTAGAATGTCTAACTTTATTTTAAGGGTGTCGTAATCTTCCATCAATATGTTTTCAACTACAAAACATCTGTAAAAATGTTTAAAAATTTTTATGACACCCTGGTCGATAGGCTGGAGAACTGAAGTCATGTTAGCAGGAAAAAAAATAACTTTTACATTTTCCATCAGTGGGATAGTGGTGTGTGCCGTACAATTGTCAATAAACAAAATAACTTTTCTTTTTTCTTTTACGAACTTTTTGTCTAATTTTTTCAGCCAGTTCTCGAAAAGATCACTAGTCATCCAAGCTCCTGCGCTGCTCACATATTCCACTGGTTTTGACTTGACGTTCTTAAAACAAAAGGATTAGCCGACTTGCCAATCATCAGTAGAGGCAGTCTTTCTGATCCGTCCATGTTTGACGACGGCCATGATCTCTCCAATTAGGAGAGTTACTCTTTCTTTACTTAGATTGCGGTGATTGCAATTGCAACGCCAACGCATCTCAACTGAAAGGGCGTGCCAGATGGGCTGGAATTGAGGTGACAGGTACGGGTACAATGTACAATGGCCTTGAAACAAGTGGCACGTTAGAACAGAAAAGAATACTACCTCTTTTAGCGGAAATTTCCAGCATGAAATTGGCATTTTTAACTTGTAGAAAAGTTCGAATTATCCAAAATATAATTCGAATTATCCACGACTTTTTAACATTACTTATATAGGAAATGCTAGGGACCAGAATAAAAATTCGAATTAAAGAAGATTTCGAATTAACGAAGTTCGAATTAAGCAGGTTCTACTGTATTAGTTTTTATCAATGTGTTATTAGGGTAAGTTCAAGTCACCTACGAAAAGTTGGATAGGCGACCTCTATAGATTTGGCATAAATTTTACAGGCGTAGTCTATTCGCTATGTGCAAGTTCCGAAGAGCGACAGCTAGTGGCATAAATCAGCGAAGGTGTTAGCACTATTAATATTTTAGCTTAATTACTTTTATTAACTTATATAAGATGCAAATAATGTAACTTAAACATATACAGTGATGAGTGCTTTACCATCCAGCTTTTTAACGTAAGAGATAGAAAACACAGTTACCTTGTGAAATAAAAAGAGATCTCGTAGAGGTGGGAAATAATCGATAGAAACCTACAATTTACATTACATTGCATTACCACCATCGACAGTCTCACACCTTTAGACGTTTAGACGTTAGACGTGGCTATTTGACTTCAGTCATAATTATACAGATAACCTCAAAAATATTTTAATAATTTCTGAAGTTAGAATTATTACTTGAATAAATTAAGATATATTATAGTAAAAAACATTCATTAGTAGCGATTTTAAATTATAAATCTTTAAATTTATTTAATAGTAAAAATAACTCAACTGAAATATTTGACTAAAATAAAGGTAGGTATGTTTTGTCCGAAAACGATTAATGTATGTGAAATTGGTGTAGTGGTTAGGGACGTTGTCTATTGACGAGAAAATTGGGGTTCGATTCACACCAACGATAAAATTTTTGTTTTATCAATAAAAAAATAATAGAAAATATGATACATATTAGGTAACAAATTTTCGAAAAACTCATTATTTACAATTTATTTTTACTCCAATGTTATAAAACGGAAATACAAAATAATTCAAATTCAATTCATACAGTCTTCAGTTGCGAATGCAAAATAATCCGGTGAAGACTGTTTATATCAAATCCATCACTAAATTCTCAATGTTAATATCAATTCCTCTGTACAGGTAATGATTTTCAAAACAAATGACAACATTGGAATGGATGCGCGCGAAGCGAAGCCTTTAAGCCATCAAATAATAACATATCGAGAAGTGTTTTTGCACGGTAAACAGAAACTTTTTATTGAAAAAACAATTCGTGAAAATGGTTTTAACGGTCGAGGAAAAAGTGCAAATTGTTGTCTGGCATGTGAATGGATTCTCAGACAACATGATTAGACAACAATTTGTAAATATGTTTGCAAATAGGCAGGCTCCATCACGATCAACAATTCAATCTATTATACGTAATTTGATTACTTATGGATCCGTGTTCGCTCCAAGAGGAGTTCGTAGACAAAGGGAGGTAAATCCAGATTTGGAACTAAGGGACACTTTGATTTGTGCAAGTATTGAGCAAAATTCTACCTAATCAACATCTCGTCTCGGAGAACAATATGGAATTTCAAGATTTAGAGTTGGTAAAATTTTGAAAAGACATGGATACCGACCCTATAAACTTCATAAATCCAACGAACAATTCCCTGGGGATCAATATAGACGTTTAGAATTTTGTCAAACTGCAATGGAAATGTCACATCAAGATGAACATTTTTTAGAGAACGTCTTGTTCACAGATGAATGTACGTTTTCATTGCATGGCCGTCACAATTCAATGAATGCTCGGTATTGGTCCCGAGGAAATCCTCGTCAGATTTATGTCGCTCGTATCCAGCGTCCTCAAAAAGTAAATGTTTGGAGAGGCATAATAGGGAATCATGTCATTGGTCCATTTTTTGTAGACGGTATGTTGACTGGGCGGAAATACTTGGAACTTCTGCAAAATTAAATTGTCCCAGCCCTTCGTAATTTACCAACTCCTTTCGATTCCATATGGTTTCAATACGATGGTTGTCCTGCACATAATTCTCGCATCGTCAGTGAATATCTCAGTGCGACTTTTCCTAATCGATTGATTAGCGGACACGGAGATATTTTTTGGCCTGCAAGATCACCTGATCTTGCACCTTGTGATTTTTTTATGTGGGGATATATATCAAGTCCAAACTATATGGAATTGAAGACGATAGGCCTAATTCTCTCTAAGAATTAAGAGAAAAGATCTCTGATTCAATGAGAGGTATTAGTCCAGAAACATTAACTAATGTTGGACGAAACTTTTATAATAGATTGGGATATTGTTCTGCTGCTAATGGAGGCTTATTTGAACATTTTTTGTAAATACATTTCATTTGAATAAAATACGTTTATTTAGAATATTTTTATAGAATTTCTGCTTATTTAAACATTTTTTGTAAGTACATTTATTTAGAACGTCCTTTTATGTTTGAAGAATTTTTACTTTATTTTCGAAAGTGCGACATTGTTTTTTCAATAAGATTTTCATGTTTTACTAGAAACACTTCTAATAAAGACTGAAATAAATGTTTTATGATTTAAAGCAAAACGATATAATATCTGCATAATTTCAAATTTTTAAAAAAGTGCATGAGTACATCGTGCCTTGAACCCTGATCTATCAGACTTTTATAATTCTTTAGTGACAGTTTGGGTCATTATTCTGCTGCTAATGAAGGCTTATTTGAACATATTGTAGATACGTTTATTTACAATATTTTTTTATTTTTTTAAACTTTTTACTTATTTAAACATTCTTTTAATTTTGAAGAATTTTTACTTTATTTTCGAAAGTATGACGACACTATTTTTTCAATAAGATATATGTTTAACTTTAAACACTTCTTATACTAGTAACGACTGACATAAATGTTTAGTGATTCAAAGCAAAACGATCTCTCCATAATTTCAAATTAAGAAAAAAAGAAAACCTCATGTAGGTTTTGAACTCTAATCATCTGCGTCGCAGTGTCGAATTCTTACCACTAATCCACGAAGGATTGCTAATTATTCCGTGACAAGAGTGTATGAAACTACTCAAATCATAGTAGAAATTATTCTTGGTTAATAATTTAAAACTTTAGAATAAGTAATCACTATTAATTAAATTATTTTATTCACATTTTTGCTTTATTGTGGTCAATCAATTTTTACTTTATCTAAATTAAAAAATGAAAATACGTCACACATACGATGTCAAACTGTCAAACATAATATGACCGAGGTGATTTAGATCGAAGGTAACGTCTGAAGGTGTGAGACTATCGATAGTCTTATGTAATGTAATGTAAATTATAGGTTTCTATCGAATATTTCCCACCTCTACGAGTTTCATCTCCTTTTATTTCACAAGGTAACTGTGTTTTCTATCTCTTACGTTAAAAAGCCGGGTGATAAGGCACTCACCACTGTATATTTAATACAATAATTATTGTTACCTTTCAAAAATTTTGAATTGATTTTTAACTGTAAAAATTCATAAGTATATTTTTTACGTTTAGATTTCATCATTTGACATTTAAGATTGAGGTTATGAGGTTATTAAAAGGTAAACATTGTATGTAGTAAATAAAAATAAATATTAAATTGCAATATTACTATTAATATGGATACAATAATAAAAACTCTATCCAGAAAATAAATCATAAAACATCGTTTTAACCAACTATCATATCCACTGTAAAATACAATTAATAATTACATATCATATCAATATTTTGGAGCGATATTAACGCCCGATTTCATAATGACAACCTAAAGTACACTTTAACAAATGTCAGACACAGTAGAAATCGATTAAATTTTGCTCGACATCAACATTGGGTATACAGAATTGGAGCCGAATAGTCTTTACTGATGAATGGCGGATCTTTTGAAGTCTGGCAATGGCCGAGAGAAGATTTGGAGCCGGTGAAATTAAAGATATGCCCAAGCTTGTATGTTACAGAGAAGAAAATTTGACGGTGGTGGTGTCATGGTTTGGGCTGGAATCTCATTTGAAGCTCGAACTGAACTTATTTTTATCAGTGGCTCCCTGAATACTCACCAGTATATAGAGGATGTTTGACAGAATCAGTAGTTCCATTTGATCCATTTATTGGGGACAATTTCGTCTTTATGCATGATAATGCACTGCCGCATACTGCAATAATCGTGACAAATTACTTGGGGGAAGTAGAAGTTAATATTCTAGAATGGCCAGCCTGCAGCCCTGATCTAAATATCATCGAACATTTTTTTGATGAACTTCATCGTAGGGTTAGAAGTCAACCAGGCCAGACAGAAAGTCTTGCAGAACTTCAAAACATGCTTCCTAAAGAATATATACGTATTCCTCAAGTTTTTATTCAAATTTTGTTCCTTTTCCTTCCAAATCATATGAAAACGGATGTTGATGTTAGAGGGCATAACACCTGATATTAGACAATTTTATTCAAGTACACTCATAATTTTTATTGTTTGTAATTCGTTTCGATATTACACCATTTTCTTTTGTAGCCTTCTAATTAAATAAATTATGCTAAGGAATCGATTTAAAATTACTTGTCAAAGAAATATCCTGCAATGACCTTGTTTCTTCTTTTTAATTGTTACAGTTAAATATATTTAAAAGTTGATTTATTTTGAACAGGTGATAAAACATAATGTTTACTTTATTTCTAGAAAAAGTTCAGTACAATACCAACCCATAACAGAAGATATAACACCGGTAACTCCATTGGCTAATACAAAAGATGAAGCTGGTTTCAAAACTCCCCAGAACACTCCACATGTATTTGAAAATATCAGAAAATCTGTTTTGAAATCCAGAAGTAGACATAGACTTTCCGCTGGAAATGATTCTATCAGAAAAAATGTGTTGAACGCGGGAGAGGCTCTTAAAAGACCTAGAGAATCCACTGGTAGTGTCAGATCTAATAAACGTATGAAATTAACCACAAGTGAAGATAGCAGTTATATTGATGTAAGTATTTTATTGATATATAAATGTGTAAACAAATAATAAACGAGCCCTAACAACTATGTAATGGGACAAAATCGCTGTATTATTTCATTAAAATAGTGCCTGGTATCTCTACCTGGTATTTTATTTTTAGTTATAGCTTCATACAAAATAAATACATTTGTCATTGCTGAGCCAGTGAGAAGCTCAACCACTAGCTTACGGTACTATTTAACACCTCTTCTTAATGCACTAAAATATGATTTCAGCTGATCTGAAATATCAATAAATGCGTTAAAATTGCATTATATTACACATGGTACATTGAAATTAAATATCTTTAGAGTTTTTTCCGTTACAGCAGTCCAAGTAAGCTGAAATTCAGCAGCGGTAACTGGAAGTTCAGTATCGTGATCTGTATCTAGAGCGTCCAAAACATTGTTGAAAGCTATTCTACACCTTTATCTTCAAATGCTTCACAACTATGTTGAAAGACTACACTATCTATAATTTCATCTACGTGGCTTGTAGATTTTTCTACACTTTTACGTTTTACTTTTTTGCCATCGATCTTTTGCACAATCTTCGACAAATAAACGGAATGTCGATTTACCACCTCTGAAACCAGCCTGGTATTTTCCTACTATTCGCTCTGCATATAGTGCCATAGTAGTGGCATAGTAACTAGTAGTAGAAGCATAATTCCTCTCTGGTTAGAGCATTCAAAGATATCTAATTTTTTGTGTATGGTGTACTGGGGAGGGATTTTGCGTTGCATGTATGGTGTTTGTTAAAGCTAGTTTTTAACTGCATCTTTAACTTCAAGAATCGTTGGTGGTTCCTCTTTTCTCTCGTCTGTTCTGCTTACCTTATCTCTTTCGTCTTCCAGGTTTTCTACTTCTTCCTTATGTGCCTAGATAAAGTATTCTACCCATCTATTAAATACATTTTCTGGTTGTTAGCTTACTTGCAGCTACTTATGCTTATTTGAGATTAGAACAAGCAGATAGTGCTATTTACAAAAGAGAATTGTGAAGAACCAAAGAAATAGTGGCAAGGAAATTGGAAGGCTGGAATATTATACAATCTAATTGAAAGATAATACATAATGTGAAATGAAAATGTATTTAGACAAGACGATAATGATACCAAAGATGGTTATTTATGGAAGTGAAGCATGGGGGTAACACACACATACACACAAGCAAACAAATACTGAAAATCTGAAAGAGACTTCTTGATTGTTTTTAGAAAGAATGAGCGAGCAAAAAATCTCCATAATTTTTTTTGCATATATTATTATATTTGTGTTTTCATTGATTCCAGATGCTTCTAGGATAATATCCAATATATTTGTCACATTTGACAAAATAGTGTTTTTAAATACTAGAATATGTTATAACTTATTTTTAAACTACCAAACTTATAAATTAAATTTAAAGAAGAAAATCAGATAGTCTTCTTCTCTACCTGTATGATTATCTTTATAAATAAATGCAATCCCAGATTTTATGAAAAATTTTATTTTACAATATTTTATTAATACATTTTTTTGTTTGCAGTCTTTATCTTCATCTTTTGACTCTGAAGTATTTGAAGCAGATACTCCAAAACTCACAAAAAATATCTCAGTACATCAACCTAACTTCTCATCAAGATTTTCTGCTGAGCCTTCAAGAAAAAAATCTGCAATTGTCAGGAGATCTTTGCAGGTCGTTACTAACGTTGAAAATAGTAAACCAGTTTCAACACCTCCAGTATCTAAGAAAATTAATCAAAAAGGACCCAAAAACGACCTTAGCGACGTTGAGGGTGTAAAAAAACTCATGAAAACACCAAAAACACATAAAGAACCTGCAAATGATTTATCCAACGTTTCAGGTGTGAAAAATCTTCTGAAAACACCTAAAGTTCACAAGGAGCCTAAGAATGATTTGACTAATGTTGCAGGTGTTAAGAAACTTCTAAACACTCCTAAAGTGCAGAAAGAACCTAAAAATGATTTGACTAATGTTGCAGGTGTTAAGAAACTACTAAATACTCCGAAAGCACAGAAAGAACCTAAAAATGATTTGAGCAATATTGCTGGCGTTAAAAAACTCTTGAAAACACCTAAACCCCAAAAAGAACCCAACAATGACCTGAGCAACGTTTCAGGCGTTAAGAAACTTTTAAAAACACCCAAAGTACAAAAAGAACCTGAAAATAATTTGATAAATATTCCTAGTTTCAAAAAGTTATTCTCAACACCTAAAGAGGCAAAATCGCCCAAAAACGATTTGACATCGGTTCCCAATTTAAGAAGAATAATGTCACCGAAACAACAAAACACGCCGAAAAATGATTTGACAGATATTAGAGGTGTGAAGAAGTTGATGAAGACCCCTAAAGAAACAAAAGAACCCTTAAATGACTTGACTGATGTTCGTGGATTGAAAAAATTAATGAGGTAAGTTAACTAACTCTTAGTCATTAACCTAATAAGTATTGTGATATGTAATTTGCCCACAGACCATTTATGGGCAAATGGTTCGTTTATAGCTAAACCACATTTAGTTACATTTGTTGGTGGTTACATTTGTTCACTGGAATTTAATAATACAAAAAGAAAATGTTTCTCGTCAAGAAAGCCAACTAGAAAAACAAACTATTTTAGAAAATGTTTTCGCGTCAACTCTTTTTATATCAAAGTTATTTTGGTTTCATGAAGGTTTAAAATATATATTTTTTATAAAATATGATATCAATTTACTTCTTCACGGGCCATATCAGAATTATCCATTTGGGCCATTTGATATCTGAGTCCATTCACAAATGTTTTTCAACCAAAAAACCTGATTTCTTCCTACATCTCAACGCCTTCTATTTTACCTTTAAGGATCAGCTGTAGTATTCTATATCGATTTCCCCTCACTATATGTCCCAGATAAGACTTTCCGGTGTTTAACAGTCTTTAGCAATTCTTTATCTTTATGGACCCTCCTTAGTACTTCATTAGCTTTTCTTGCAGTCCAAGGTATCCTCAATATACGTCTATGAAGCCTCATTTATAATGTTTCCATCCTGTTCATGTTCTAGCCAATCTTTGTCTTAGTTCTAAACTGAAATGATTATTGCAAAGAAATGTTTTCATTTACATAAAAGTAGTTTTAGTCGTTGCTATTCTGTATTTTATTTCCATGTCTGGATCTAGTTGGTCCGTTATGACAGTTCCCAAATGTGTAATATTGTGAAACTTTTTCAACTTGGACTCCATTTAATTGAAACTGTGGATGTGGGTTACGACTAAAGACTAAAAATTGTGGTTTGTTTGAGTTTATGCCCATTTCGTCTCCTACTTCGTGAATATGATGAGCAGAATTTTGAGATCTTCGATATTATCTGACAGAATTACTGTATCGTCCGCGTATTCAATAATGTTAAGTAGTTCCCCGTTGACTTTTATTCCGTATGGCTGTATCTCAATTTCCTTTTTAAATAACTGGTTGAAGTAAACATTTAAAAATGTTGGGGACAAAATGCAACCGTGCCTGACTAGATTTCGTTGGTGTAATTGTCTCCAATTTTTATGATAGCAATTTGATTCCAGTACAGATTTTTAATGGCACGAATATCTTTATCGAATGCCTTTTCAAAGCCCACGAAGGATGCAATTACTTAGCACCATAAACTGTAACATTTCTAAAACGAAATTGGGTATCTTTGAGATCTTCGCATTTACGTCTAATTCTGTTGTGCAGTATTTTTAGGAAAATCACTTAACTACAGCTATTTTACAACTTTTCAATTTTGATAAAATTGTTCTGAAATTATTGTTTGTATCATTACTATATTATACTATGTTGTACTCTATTTAATGGGATTAGGCCACACTTTTAATTGAAAATGCTTTAATATTTGAAGTTTTGATTTCCACCTCGGAAATCTTTCTTAAAATATGATTTTGAAAACTATTTCTAATATCAACAAATAGTATTGTTCAGTAGCTCATGTTATTATAATAACTGCTAGAGTTTATGAGCCCTGTCTATCGTCATTTTATTTAATTAAACCATTTGAAACCGAACCAAAATTTTTTTATCTCGATTATACGATTTTTTGCACACATTTTAATTAGCATTTAAATCATAATTTTTAGGACACCAAGAACTCAAAAAGGACCTCTAAATGATCTTAGCGATTTGGAAGGAGTAGCAAATATTTTCAGTACTTCGGTACATCATAGATTGAGTAACACCAGTGATATTGAAAATAATGAAGATCTTTTCAATAAACTCTTTGATAGAAAACCTCTGAAGACCTATAGGTCCAAAAGTACATCTCCTAATAAGAACCTAGATGCTTTTGGTGCTGTTAGGAAAACGATTGGAGATGAACCTGTAGTTAGTCCCAGAGTTGTTGATTGGATTGATGAACAAAAGGTCTTGAAGGAGATGTAAGTATATATTAATATGTTAATAGGACTGTAGTCGATATTTTAAATAGAAAAGGTGGGGGATTTTAATTATCTGGTGTATTTTGAAAACTCAGTTTATAAATAGTGTTGTGTTTGTTCAAAAGTCTGATGATAGTAATATTTAGAGTTCTGTAATAATCATGAATTTTAATTTCTCACAGTTGCACCATCTGGAGTTTATTTGTATTTTGAGAAAGTGAAAGTCGAAACGTTATATTGTATTTTCAACCATGTGGTTACTTCCTATTAAAAATAGTGAATAAAATAATTAAGAGACTTCTAGTCTTTTAAGTGGAAGTGACTGTCACAGGCTTTATTTCATTAGTGTTCCCTGAATGTTCAGAAACTGTTCCAATTTCAATTAAATTTTACCTTGGGCTCCTTGTCAACCAAGAGTTCATCTACGGCTAGCTTGGAGTCTAGGCATTGCCCAGCGCTTCACCTTAAGTCCTTTATTTAGTTTTCCAAAGTGGGCTTTCCACTCAGTTTTTCTCAAGATAATCCTTCGTGCAAGGGTCTTCTCGAATCTCAAGGTAGCTGTCCATCGTCAGTCAGACGAGAAGCACAGGGAGTTTTTTCAGTAATAGGGTTTATTAGGCCATTTTTATGTTTCATAACCTCCACCACCACAAGGTTTTGGAAAGAGTAGTTATATAATTGTCCTTTTTTATAATTTTCTCGTCGGGAGTTTTTCTGGAAGACGCAGTTCGCTACAGTGCGTGAATCGTCAGGTTGGTTTTCTTGCTCAGTCTGCAGGACCTCATTTTTGGAAATAGTTTTGTTAGGTTTTGGATTCGTCTTACAGTCTCCCGATTTTTATTTATATTAATTTCGCACATTCTGTTACTGTAAGATTGTGACAATACGAGTCCGTACCTGAAGACCTCCTGATATTTATATAAGGCCTAATATGAAAGACACAATAACAGTTCTTTTTAGACACGCAATTACCATGCAGGTTGAGCACGGTGCAATACATACACTGGTGGCCAAAATTCTGGAAACTACAAAAATTATCGTTTTTTAGCAAAATCGTCTCATGATCATGATTTATATAGTTTACCATTACAATTACATTTTGATTTTATTGTTTTATATTCCTGCCTAATATTTTATGTATTTCTCACTCTTTTTTTTTTTATTAACATTAATAAAATATGGAACCAGATTCAAGCGAAACGCCGAAAATCCGAGATTTGTGAATGGCAACATTGGCAATACTGTATTGCGTCAGGGTTTTACTAGTCAGTCAACAACCCAACTGGAAGCGGTTAGGTAGCCTTTAGTACAGTTTCGTGCGGCTTCCAGTGTTTATTAGTGACATCAGGTAGTTGTTACTAAGGTGATATTGTTTAATTGTCGGAGAGGAATTCATCAGCGTCGATTCAACGAAAATGGCAACCAGAAACCCAAAACGTGTTGACTGGTCGCCAAGAAAGAGAGCCAAAGCAATTATTCTTCGAGAAGAAGGTTACACTTATCAAGAAATTGAAAAAATAGAAATAGCAAACAAATTGGGTGGTGGCGTCACAAAATCAGGTGTAATGAAAGTTTGCATACGTGGAACGACAAAATCAGCAAAAAGATCTGGCAGAAAACCCAAAGTTAGTCACTACGATGTGCGTAGAATATGCCGACTTCTTTTAGAAGATCGTCGCAGATCCGCAAAAGTATTGTCAAATCAACTGGATTACAAATATCGGACCGCACTATCAGAAGAAAGTTGTGTGAAAATGGATTGCGAGCACGAATTCCTAGAAAGAAGCCGTTCCTGAACAAAAAACAGAGGCAAAAACGCATTGATTGGACTTTGGCACACAGAGGGTGGACAGAAGAACAATGGAGTAAAGTAATTTGACGTACCATGGCTCGTAATTTGGCTCGTACCATATACTAATTTTGTTGATAATAATCATTGTACCATTTTTTTTTAAATATATCTACTAATAGCTAACGGCTGTTGTTTTATTTATTTTTAAATTTTTAGAGCATTTTCCCCCATAAAATAGATGTTAAATATTAAGTAGAAACATAAAACGATGTAATAAAATTATAGATAAACTTATAAATAACATAAGTCTTGTGAAAAAGAGGAATGCTGAAAACAAAAATAAAATTTTTGAAAAGTTTCCAGAATTTTGGCCACTAGTGTATTTATCTTGCATATTGCTATTCATTCTCTTAGTCTCCTTGCTATTTAGAATGCTGCATCTTTGCAATTTTGTAATCTAAATTTGTCAGAAAATATTTTTCCGAACATTGTATTTTTTTGTTATATTTCAATTAGAATTTTTCTTTTTACAGGCAAACTGAAGTTTCTAAACCTCAATCAGTTCAAAAAGGAAGGAAGAAAACCAGAGTAGAGGAATTAAAAGACGAAGTGGTACCTAAAAAGATTAAAAGAAGTCCTAAAAACCAAAATTCTGAGGATGTTCAAGTCCCTACAATATCTTCAACCAGGAGAAAAGTTGTCCAATCATTAGAATATGAAACTGAGAAGGACGAAGCATCTGAAGAAAAACTGGATACTGACATTTCCAAAGAAGTAAAAACCACAAGGAGAAATAGGCAACGTAATGAAGATAAAATGATTGAACCACAAAAGACTGAAGTAATAGAATCTCCTCAGAGCAAAACTAGAGGAAGAAAAGGAAAGCAAAGAGTAGTGGAAGTAGATAAAAATGAAAAATCTGAAGCAGATTCTTTAGAAGAAAAAGGTAAAATAGAAGTCGAGTCTCCGAAACCTAGAAGAGGAAGAAGAAATGTCACCAAAGTTGATGATGAACCAGCTATAGAATCTCCTCAAACTTCAACTAGAAATAGAAGAAAAGTAGCTGAAAAGGTTGATGTACATGACGAAAAACCAGCTAAACGAACAAGGAATGCCAAAAAAGATGAACCTAAAACAATTTCCTTAGATTCACCATTAAAGACTGTTTCCACAGATAAACCAGATAAACAAAAATCCACAGAATCGCCTAAAATTACCACTAAAGGACGACGAAATGCTACAACAAAAAATAATGAACATGAAGAGGAAGAACATAAAACACACGTAGATTCACCTAAAGTCACTGCTAAAGGAAGAAAAAATAAAAAAGTTGAAAGTATTGCAACAGATTCCCCACAAGGAAAGTCTGGAAGAAACAAATCCAATGAAGATCAAGAAAAACCGGTTGATTCTCCTAAGGTTGTGTCCAGAGGAAGGAGAAATGCTAAAGTCGTCGAAAATGACGTTGCCTCTGATGCTGCACAGGGAAAAACTGGAAGAAACAAATCTAAAGAAGTTGTGGAAGAAACTGTCGATTCGCCCAAGGCTACAACTAGGGGAAGGAGAAAGGTTACCAAGAAAGTTGATGACGATTTAATTACTACAGATTCTCAACAAATAAAATCTGGAAATAGTAGGTCCAAAAAAGAAGAACCTGTTGTAGAGACTGTTGATTCACCGAAAGTCACTGCGAGGGGAAGAAGAGCTCCTAAAAAGATTGACAGTGATGTAAGTTCTGTTGAATCTCCTAAACCCAAAACAAAACGAAATAAACGAGTTGAAACCACAGAATCGAAGGAAGAACTATCTAAAGATATAGATTCTCCAAAAATCGAAACTAAGAAGAAAACGGCCAAAACTACAATAGCCGAAGAAAAACTAGTACAAGATTCACCCAAAAAGACTACAAGAGGAAGGCCACGTGCTGGAGTAGCAATTAAAAATATTCAGGAAGAATTACCAACAAGTAACAAAGACGAAAATGCTGATTCTCCTCTTAAAACTGAACCAACCACAAAAGGTAAAAGAGGAAGAGGGAAAAAACAAGACGAAGTTAAAAAGGTAGATACACACGAAATAGATACGCGGGAAACAGAACTACCTACTCCATCAACCAAAAACAAGAAAGATGCAGATGCTGTAAAGCCCACAAGAGGTAAGCGGAAGCAAAAGGAGACAGAAGATGTAAATGAGGCTATTGTTACAGTTGCTAAAAGGTCTAAGAAAGATAAACCTGCAGAAGTTGTTGCAGATAATGAAGAAAAAGAAAGTAGCACAGCGGCTAAAAGAACAAGAAGAGGCAAGCATGTAGAAATCTCTTCTGAAGCTGAACAGGAGAGTGAACCTGAAATTAAATCCAAAAGAAACAAAAATGCTACAGATGCAGATAAGAAACAATCTTCGAAACGGAAAGATGAAGAAATAGGGACAAAAAAATCAAAGAGGGGCAAAGTTGAAGAAGCAGTAGTAGAAGTACCTGATACTTCTAGTAGAAGTACGAGGGCTAGAGGTAAAAAAGTACAGTTCGCTGAGTAAGTTTAAACAGTGTTATTTAGTACAACGAAGTTTAAATCAATTTTTATATTTGATATGTATATTGTTTTAAATCGTACGATACTATTTATATTTATATATTTTTAATTATAAAATTATAAGGTAGAGAGTGCTTTTTATTGTATTAAATATACTAAGTGATATAGAGATCTGAACGCACAGGAATATAATAGAATTTCTTGTTAAAAGTTATATACATTTTACCACTGTAAGGAAAAGATCAAAAATATTTGTGATCACAAAAATTATTTTAAACATATATTTTCTGTTGTGAGCACAAACAGCAGGTATTTTAGTAAGGCATTCAAAAAAAATTACAAATTTTTCAGCACAAACATAGCAGATTTTAGTTGCACACAAAATTATTACACTCCATTTGTATTGTATCATACCATTCTTCTTACTTTCGCAGTTCTAGCTTTACTTTCCTTGAAGGGTTTTTGTTTCAAGATTTAAAAAAAAACTATTTTTTTTTGCTATCAGTATACTTAATTTTGCTATTAGTGTAATTGACACACAAAAACACAGTAAAACACGTGGATGCAAATTTTGCAAGCTTAGTTATATCCTTCACATCGGGTAGTCACTGGTAATATCACGAGAACATGTCCTTACGAGTCGGTGAATCTAACCCTGTTTCATCCTTCCAAAAAACAATGTTATATTGTAAATTATATTGACTTTAATCACTACTTGACACCTTATTCAGTATCTCGCCATATACTCGGATTTGTTAGTATTCAAAGGTATAGCACAAGATTTGGTTCTATAATTTTTTGGACGTAAAAATGTAGTGAACATGTCTTTCTACAAAACACATGAAGTTCTTCCTTGACCTCGTCGCCTTCGAATATTATGTCGGCCATAATACAACTGTAAACAAGATTTAGAATATTGAATTATATACATTTTATACTATTCAATTCCACTCCTGTTCCACAATAGTTGTTCTCTGCACCATTCAAGCCGATGCTCTGTTGAAGGTGATACCCAGTGCAGTTGGTAAGAAAAATGACCAAAACTACTAATTCGACGGTAGACTTCGCATTTCAACTTTCCTCCCATGTTATGTAAAACCACTAATTTGCTCGATCTGGTGGTGTAGAAGCGATCTCCAGATTGCTTCTGCAAGCTCGTCGTATGCCACTAGCTGGTTGAGAATTTTGGATACCATGTCTGCTAACATTTTGCCGCATTATTTAGACTTCTATGCACTCTTTCAGCAATTGCTCAAACAAAAAATCAAACTTCCTGTAACTCAACAATTCGTCCTCCTTCAATCCGATAGTGATAATTTGCTTTTCTTTGCACCAAATCATCTTAAATACTTTTAAACAATGTTTACAAACTCTGTTAAATATGACTGCTTACTGTTGGCTGCTACTATGACTGTTGGTCAAATACAAATCTACATAAAATCGTATAATAAACGGAAAATTAAACTAATAAAGTTAATACTTACAGATCATTTACTTACAGTGTCTAAATATTTAACCACAATTTTAACAAAAGAAACCATCTACTGATTTTTCGGATGTCTTTGTGATTTAGTATAATTTATAAATTTTTTAAATGTCAAAGTATTCTCAAACCGATAACAAATGTGAGAATATTTATTTGAAGTGAACTGCCGAGGAAAAAGCATTCAAAGTTTTTTTAAAATCTGGATAACCCCAAAAAGATTTGACGTCACCTAATTGACATTATTTCTGATGTACTGAACATGAGACAAAACGTATCCTATAGATGACTAGTTTTATAACCCAGAAGTACCTGGAAATATTTTAAATATTAAAAGACAATCGCAGTGTCTTCCTTTGCGAGCTATCTTTGCTGGTACTATTAGATTAATATATAATATATGCTTTATTTTAGTGTGCAAGCAATTTTAGATTTTATTTTATTAGATACAATGCGCGAAATATGCAGTGGCATACATACGTAATTTATAATCAGTTTAATGATTTTTTCCACAAACTTACATTGCATTTCATTAATAAATTGTTCAAAACAGTATTTTAGTTCTATCTCAGCAGATAAAGGTAATAAAGTCCACTAAAATTTTGTCATCATCATCATCATACTGGCTTTACAACCCAGTGTGGGTCCTAGCTTTTTCAAGGATTTCTCTCCAGTCATCCCTATCCATCGCCTTCCTATGACAAGCATGTATTCCCATATTTCTCATATCTTCATTGTGTTCTCTTACTTTCAAGTCATGCCATCAGTATTCAGGGCTGAACAAGCTTCTTTGTGATTTCGTCACTTTTGGTAACATATTTTTTTAGTTTGTATTAGTGTAACGATTTCTCATTTTCCTTCAGTGTTTGAAAGCCTGGACTATGGATTGTTATCCATTAACTACCACTCTTTTGTGTTCTCTATATCACATTCAGAACATCCGAGAATTTCTTTATACCGTTGTCAAATTTCAACATCTGCTATTATTATCAACTTTTTCCATCTCTGTGTGTTGCTTTCCTCTAAAGTACTCCATGAGTCCGCAAACAAGCTGCAACGTGCTGCCAAGTTCGGACGTAGGTAGGCTACTTTAAACTCATCAAGCGAGTTTACTATTGGTATGTCTGACTGTATTGTCATGACTAAGAGCTTAGTCATGACAAAAAGTACTTTCCGATTTACGTTCTTTTTAGATTCTTTCTAGATATCTAGATCTTCTAGGTTCTTTTTAGATAAATGAATTAGAAAACCAGTCTAAAAAATGTCACAATCTTGTATATTTTCTTTCAAACTTTCGGCCATCTAGTACAAATTTTTTAGTGTCTATTCAGTTTCTTTAAAATCGATTTCTTTATTTTCACTGTTTTGGTCCATGGAAGGTATTAATTATTAATGGAAGGTATTAAGTAATCGTTTATCGCCATTTTTGGCGTTATTATAATATGTGCTGTTCTACTTCTGCAAGATTCAAATCACCGAATCCGCCGCTTTCAGCATTTCTTGCTGCTTAAATGGTATCTTGTATCATCTTCATATACCCTTTGTATTATCACGTGACCTTCCTAAATACTTACTCTTAAATACCTCTCAAATTCGTCCAAGTACAAAAATGGCTTTTATCGTTAGGTATCGAATTGGTAGACATCTAATGACATGCAATGAAAGTTTTTTATTTAAGTTCAAACATGCTTCTAGATTTTGCCTTATATTTAAAAAAATTTACTATTATTTGAAAGTGTAATATATATACTAACTTCTGCATATAAAATTCGTATTTACATTCATAGAATAGACATTAGTCTTAAATGTAAATATAATAATTGTTTAAGTAATTACTATTTTCTATAAAATTTCGGAGTACCTAAAAGACTACATTGAACCAATTCAGTTCTTTGGTGCGATTGTTTTTCTCGGAATTTTGAAGTATGTCACGATATTAAGATTGCGCTGTATATATTGTAAATTAAGAAAATATAGTACAATACTTTTTAAAAGTGCCAAGTGTAAAGAAACTTATAGAGAAAAAAATTTATATGCTTATATTAGTAAATAAAATAGTTTTATTATTTATGGTATAGAAAATTTTATTTTAATAAACTAGAAAATATTTTTTGATCGTTTTCGTTTCTTTACCGCTTAACATTTTTAAAACTTTAATCGACACAATGTGTTGGTACTAAGATTAAATATACAATAGATCTTGATTTGTATAACAGTTTAATAAACATTTTTATACATTCCTTGACGAATTTTCATTATTAAGTGTACCTCATTTTTAAACAAATATACTAAGTTGATACTATACCACTAGAGTGTTGTAACATAACAGAGAGGAAAAGTAATGCATAAAGTAATGACTAAAACAATGAACATAGAACACGAAAGGCAGAGGAGGAATATAGAATGCTAAGGAGGGAAGAAAAGAGAACACATAAAAAAACTTAAAGAAGTGGAAGAACTAAATAAACCATCAAACCAGAAAATTCTACCAAAAACTAAACAAAATTAGAAAAGAATTTAAACCAAGAACAATTATGTGCAGAGACAAAGAAGAAGATATAGTAACTCAACAGAGTGAAATACTACAAAGATGGACAGAATTCTTAAAAAAAAAGTTTGAAAAAAACGAAGATCCACTATATGATGGAATTATACTGTATCAAACGGATACTAGAGAAACAACCTCCCTTCAGTAGCTGAAATGCAAGAAGCAGTTACCAGACTGAAAAACAACAAGTCACCCGGATTAGGCAACATTAGCGCAGAATTAATAAAGGAAGATGGAGACTATTGAATGCGATACACGAACTAATAGTGAACATATGAAATAATAAACAACTGCCACAAGACTGGAATACCGCAGTAATTATCACACTACATAAAAAGTGATCAGCTTCAATGTAAAAACTACCGGGCAATAACGCTAGTAACTGTGGTATATAAAATACTGACAAATATTGTGTATGACCGATTGAATCAGCCAATAGCGTCCACTGCTGGACATCAGTTCTTTCCAGTGTTCTCTACACTGGGCCGCTTTTAGCCAGTTTCCCGCTACACGTTTTATATCGGTCCATCCAGTTGGTGGTCGTTCTCGGCTTCTTTTATAGTTTCTGGGCCTCCATTGGGGGTAAAAGGGGTATAGGAAGAAAGAAGAAATCCTGGCTTCGAAACATCAGAGATTGGACTCACACAACAGGAAATGACTTAATCCATCAAGCCCAGAACAGAGAAATTTGCCATATTGATCGCCAACCTCAATAGAGAAGGCACTTAAGAGGAGGAGGAGGGCCTCCATTCCATTAATACGTCTTGCCCACCGTCCGTCTTGTGTTCTGGCTAAGTGCCCTACCCAGTTCCACATAAGCGTCGTGATTCTTTCGATGACGTCTTGAACTCCTGATTTGTTAGTTTGTTATGTGGTCTCGAAGGCTCCAGTTCAGGATTGCACGTTCCATGGCTCGTTGTGTAACTAGTTGGGGATTATCAATGTGGTTTCTGCAGGCAGAAGTCCACAATAGATCAGATTTTCGTCTTGGAGGCAAATCTTGGAAAAGACTAGTGAATTTAATATAGACACATCTTTTCTTTGATTTTGAGATTGCCTATGATAGCATCCATCGAGAATTTCTGATCCATGCACTGAACGAGTTCCAGAGAATATTCCAACTCAACTCATTGATTAGTAAAAGAAACACAAGTACAAAGCAAAATTCGAAATAAAAACGCACTAACATACATGAAATTCATGTGAGAACGGGCCTACGACCAGGAGATGCAATATCCTGTATTCTATTCAACATCACATTAGAGAAAATAATTAGAAAGCCAAATGCCATTGGCATTTTAGATGATTTTGATATCATAGCTAGAAGCGAAAAAGATGATAGAAGCATTTAATGCGATAGAAAGAGCGGCACAAAACGGTGGGCTAAACATTAACGAAATAAAAACCAAATGCATGAAGGCCAGAAAATCGACAGGCAGGACAAAGAAACCTACAGAATCTGACAATAGGAGAATATAACATCGAAAGTGAAAAATTGTACATGAAGTGAAAAATTGCACATATCTAGGTTCACTAATTACCGCAGATAACAATGTCAGTGAAGAAGTTAAGAGAATACATATCGCAAATAGAACATATAATGGACTAATTAAACGTTTAAGATATAACATCACAAGAAAAACCAAATGCAAAATATACAAAACTGGTCCTTGTATATGGATCAGAGACATGGACACTGTCGAAAAGCGATGAGAACCTATTAGGTACGTTTAAATGAAAAATCCTTAGACACATATATAAGGGGGTGAAAGAAAATGACATATGGCGCAGAAGATATATAATTCTGAACTATACACAGCATACAATGAACCCGAGGTCATAACATCCATAAAGATCGGATGTCTGCGCTGGATGGGCCATGTTGAACGGATTGAGACTGAAACACCAAAACATATAATGAGGTAAACACCAGTAGGGAGAAGGTCAAAGAGAAGACCCAAACTTAGATACATAGAACAAGATCTGAAAACACTTAAGATTACCAACTGGAAAAACAAAGCAAGGGACCGAACAGAATAGCGGAAAATCCTAAAACAAGCCAGGACCTGGAAAGTGTTGTCGAGCTTGATGATGATAACGACCATTTAAATTAGTCGTTTAAAGACACAAACCAACTAATTTGTTATATTTGCCACATAACACAATGTGGCCAGCCTTTAACAAGGCCTCGCCTTCTTTTAAAGGTCTTTTTGTGTCTCCTATATATTTCAAAATATGGAGCAGACTAACTTCAATTTCTTTATTTGCCATTCCGTTAACAAAAAAATAAATGGAAATAAATACGGATAATTTTTAGACACAACAATCATTCACCTACAAAGATTATGGTAGCTCTATTGTGTTTTCCTATGTGCGTGATCATCTGTCAAAGCGCCCCCTATAGTTTGTTGACATCGCCAATCAGCTTTGAGGGTAAATTAATTCCCAAGTATAAAGTTAAATGCCCGGTTGAGATATATGTTAGTCCGATTATGCAAAGTTTCAATTGTCTTCGATATGATCATTCAACAACCCAATGCAAGTCAAAAAGATGTAAAAAATGCGATAAGGAAGGAAAAATTGATTGCCTTGGTAAATTTATTTCATTTTGCGGCTATTGTAAAAATAATAACCACGAGTCAGTTTTTAAAGAATGCCTCGAATATTTGAAGAAGCTATGGCTAACTAAAAAGACCGAAAAAGCTATTTAAAGTCCAAGTTATTCCAGTTTAGTCCATAAAACAAATTTGCACCTCACAGATTTCCTTCCTTTAAAGAGCTCCCCTAAACCCACGATTTCTAGCACTACTTATTAAAGTAAGAATATTCACAAGCATATATCCCCCTATAGTTAGCCCCCCCCCCCAAAAAAAAGAAAATAGTTATACAACTCCTAATTTTCCTCCTGTTCGTAGAGAATACCAGATCAGCTTCTGTTCGGGACCTATATTTCAATTTGGAAACCCTAAATTCCCTATAACGAATTGAATAAGTTTAAAGACAGCTCGGTGCTTCACTCAAAAATTGGATCAAAAAAAGTATTCAGGATTATTGTAATTCTTCCTCAAATGTAGAATCTTAAAAGTTACGTAATTGGATTAGAAAATAACATTAAAAATATTATCGGTAACATTTTCACATATCTCTAATGGCTTCCAAAAGTATTAAACTTATTCAATGGCATATTCGTTCGCTAAATGTGAAGAAATATTCTTTTCGTCAATTACATTTTGAAGAAGGTTTTAACAAAGCTCTTTTGTCAGAAACTTTGTCCAAATCAACTGATCCCGTTTGCTTCAATAATTTCAATGTAGTTAATACATGTAGATGTAAGGGATATGGAGTAGTTATCATAATTTTAGCAAATAACATTATGTACCCGATTCATTTGTTATCAATTTCAATCTTAATCTTGAAGTTTGTAGTATAAATATTATATTGATCAAAAAATGTATACTATCCTGAGTGTGTACCGTCCAGCAAAAGTTTGAGTAACAATACAAGATTAGACACGTTAGTACTTTTTCTCAAATTAACAATGATTTTATTATTACCGGAGATTTTAATGCTCATCTGGGATTATGGGGATCCAATTCATGTTCCGTTTTCTTTCTTTCTGTTTATTTTCTAATTTAATTGTAAATTACGGCCGGCTACTATGGCTACTTTTCCAGGCCATATCAAATCAGTTGTAGATCTTACTATTATAAGCTCTAGTTTATGTTTAGCCTTTGACTGGACTGTTTTTCCAGATACCTATGAATCCGATCATTCTTTCATTAGAATTTCTATACAGGATATGAAAATTGAAAACAGAATTTTTTTCTCTTCAGCTAAATAGTCAATGTCTAATACAAACTAGGATAAATTTAGAGACTCTGTAGAATGCACCTTCAGATACGAATCAGATACAAACTAACGAAATGATATTCTTTTTATTAGATTCTATTACTGATGCAGCCAACAAATCTTAAAATTATTAAACCCTCAGCCAAATCTCTCAAAACGTCACCATGGTGGGATGATGAATGTTCTACTACTTCGCATGCGAGGAAAAATTCATTTAAAATGTATAAATCCAATCATCATTTTAAACATTATTGAATATAAGAAGAATGAATCTATATGTAACCGCTCTTTTTCCCCAAGAGCTTTGGAAAAGGGTAAACAAAATTCAGGGTAACAAAAAGTACACCGCTAATGATGAATATTTGGTGACATTTTTTTACAAAAATCTTTCCGGATTATGAGAGTTCTAAAAATTCAGCTGTTGTTATTGACGACATTAACTCTAGTATGCTCTTAAACCTGTCCGTAATTGCCATCTGTGCAAAATATACAACAATATTTTACTCAAAGGTGATAACTGTAATTCTCTCAAACAATGCGTTGTTATTCCTATACCCAAAGTAAACCAGCATACTGCCCTAAGACCTATCTCTCTTATGTAATGTTTCTTCTTCTTAGGGTGCCTGTCCCTTTCGAACGTTGGCGATCATTCTGGCTATGATGACTTTGTTGGTTGCTATTCGAAATAGCTGTGTTGAGGTCTTTCTATACCATGCTCTCAGGTTAGCAAGCCAGGATATTCTTCTTCGTCCTGGGGCCTTTTTCCTTCAATATTTCCTTGTAAAATGCATTGAAGTAGCTCGTATCTATCTTGATTTCTCAAGCTTAAAACATT